ACCCCAATGCCTCAAATTCATATTATATTATATATGTATATATCTAATTTAAATTATAAGGAATTTATGAATCTAAAGTGATGAAGCAAAAAATTGATATTGTTTATCAGAAATTTGTGCAAGTAAATTATATCAATTTTTTTCTTGTTACCTCAAAAAAAAAAAATCCAATTTTCTTAGCAACCAAATGGAATAATAATTTTGCGAAATTTCCATAAATAAATACAAGAAAAATGTGTCGGCAAGTGTATATTATTCGTATATCATATGTGGTACAAAATTGTTCATGTCCCACAAAAGAAAAAAAAAAATGCAATCCTAATAATTTTCAAGATAAAAATTGATCACCAATTGCACACTCATATTTGTCATGCTAACGTGGCAATATCAAATGCTATCGGTTCTTTAGTCCCATATGTTATCTTTTTTAGTCTTAGCACAGCAAATGTAGGTCCTAATTTAATGTAAACAATGATGGGTTGGGGGGGGAGGGGGGTCGGATCAAATGGACCGTTGGAAGGAGTAGCACGGCTCGTACAGGGGTTGGATTTTGCATTATCCTCCGATCGAACAACTGGGTTTTGACTTTTGAGGGACCGGCACAAAGCTGGGAATTATTGCTCTGGTGAGCTAGCTATTTCTCACATTGGCTCCTCCCTTATTCTAACCACCATTTTGCCCTAACTAACTAATAATTTCATGAAAAAAATTAAAACCAAGTTGATATGGGCAATAAATGCAAACACACATTTGTACCTTCGGCTTTTGAATCTTGAAATGAAAAATTAAAGATATTCTTAGAGGGTCGCAAAGTGTTATAATAAGGAGATTTGAATTTTTAATCTTTTGAGTACAAGTTCTTTTGGTAAGACAATAATCAGGTAATGGCTTCAAAATAGAGGTGTTTATGGGTCACGTTCGAATATGGTTCATGCTTGATATTAGTAATTTATATTTGATTTGATAAAAATTTTATGTCTCTTAATTGTTTTAAGTCTAATTCAAATTCAAAAAATAAATTCCAAATTCATCAATTAAGTTTAATTTATATAATAAAAAATTCAAAAAAGTGTACTTAAATTAAATTTAATGAAATTTTATTTAATTCACTTATATATAAAATTAAAAATAAAAATTTATATACGTAAAAATTAAATATATATATATATATGAATTAATTTATATATAATTCACATATGTATAAAAATAAAAAAATTATATATATATGAATTTAGATTGGATCGAATCGAGTTCGAGTTTTAAATATTTTATTAAAGATTCACTTGAAATTTAAATGAATTTAAAAATTATATTCAAATTCATTTAATGAGTTTTAATTTTTTAATCTAAACTTACTCAAAATTTGAACGAATCTTTGGATTTAGATGAATAACCTGACTCTTGAATAAATTTAATTCAGAATTTCATTTTTGAAATGCTATCATAAAGATCAAATTTTGGTAGGATTAAGGAGAAGTTTATATTACAATAGTCGATCATTATATTAAAAATTTTGATATTATATATGAAGTTAAAACGAAATTAATATAAATTATATACAATTAAATTTTATGAGTAAAAATTTCAATAGTTCATAAACATGTGAGCAATTTGTCAAGAGTACATTTTTTTGACATTGATTCTTCAACACAGGACTTGCCATGAACATACTGATAAAAGCCTACAATTAATTCGGTCTGAGCATGTCCTTTCATTTATGGATTTTGATTCTTTTGAAAACAAAAAGAATAATTGAAGAGATAAAGAATGATAAGGATATTGAAAATTTATGGGTATTAGAAAATACTGCCATTAGCTAGTGTATAGATATGGGTGCAGAAGATTCAAAGGGCACTAAAGGCATCACCGTCTCAATATTCCCAAGCCTATGATTTGCATTGATATAAGTATGATAAATTAGTATCTTAATCTAATAATTAAAAGGAAATGTTAATCAGTTTTTAGTGACACTGATTAAAGTAACTTAAAAAAATAAAATTAATGTATTACATGTTTAAATTTAATAATAATAAACATTTAGAGGAATTTAATTAATTAATTGACATATATGCTAGTGTCAATGAAGACTATGGATGTGATGGTAGAGCAATAACCTCGAATTTGGGTTTGGATTCCCATAATCCAGCAATAATTTTTTTGCTAAGATTTAAAATACATCATTATCAAAGTTTAATTTATATAAGCTAAGAATTCTGTCCAAAATCCCAGGAATTCAGGGGTTTCGAATCTGTCTCAGAACAACTAACCTACCTAGCTAGATACACACTAGTGTATATATATATATATATATACCTCAATTGAAATATAATCCCTTTAGAAAATCCATGATTACAAGGTTCTTAATCCACTCACAAATTAAATATAAAAGATTTGTTTCAAGAGGGAAAGAAAAGTTTGATTTAACATCGACATGATGAGAATTATGTGAGTTGAGAATGTGTGATGTGGGCATTCTCAATTCTTAAAATGATTCAAAGTGAAAAAAGGACCTAAAATTTTTTTATATTTTTAAATCAGTAATCATTTATATATATATATATATATGTGTTTAAAATTATCAAAAATTAAATTTTAATCAACGAAATAATTAATTAATTTCAACAAATACAGATTTAAAATTAAATTTTCAATGCTTGTACCTCTTTATTATCTATAACATCAAATTGGACATTCTTTATAAAAAAGAAAGTTGTTGCTTACAATATATTATTATTATTATTTATTCAAAAAATATTAAAAATGATTTCTATCTCTCAAAAGAAAATTTTCATGTTAAAGGCTTTCTAAAATAATAGTAACACATAAAACAAAGAGTTGTGGGTTCTTGTTAGGATCATTATTTTATGGGGTTGTCTAGTGGGTAGAGGTCTTAATGTCCTTCATGGGGACCATGTGGATGACATGCTATCATCACCTTCATATTTAGAAAAAAAAAAAAGGAAAAAAAATGAAAAAAATCCTTCCCCATAATTGGCTGGTTGTTAAGTTTGCTTAGAAGCTTCATTTGTGGATCATTTAGTATTCTCTATGCCAATGATAATTGAAGAAAGAAAAGGTTTCAAGTGATTTTAAGGGAAAAACCTCTCTTTGCATAAATTAAACAACTAATTTATCAAGAGAATCACTAGCTTTTAGCTTTTTGACACTTACTTTTCTTTAAGATGGACAGGAAGTGAACATTTGGAATTGGTGGGACAATGTGGAGGAATAATGACATTCTATTTGCATTAAACCTTAAAATAATACAAGTTTCTTTAGTTTATTATTGTCCTTAGCTCATAATTTAACTCAACTAATAGTTTATAGAATTTTTGAAGAATTGGAGCATATTTGCTTTATTAGGAGAACTATGATATTTTTGTAATTGGTAAAGTGAAGTAAACAACCCTAAATCCAACTCATAATGTTCTATTCTTAAAAAGAATCATAAAATCCTTTATATTAAATGGATAATTAAGATAATGAATCAACAAGTTGATACCAACTTATAAATCATATATTATATAAAAAATTGAGTTATACCAATATAAAATTAATTATTTTTATATTTTTTAATGATATATACTTTAATAAAAAAAACAAGAGAATTGATATATAATTTTTCTAGTTGGTTCTTGGTGGGCCAAGAGAACACATGCATCATGGGAAAAAGATTTTGAGATGCAAAATGTAAAAGCAAATGGAAAATGTGTATACTTCCTACATCATTTTTTCAATTTTTTATGGGATATGAATCTTGTGAGGGACAAATATTGAGTACTTTTAACCAAAGTAACTTCATCTTTCAAAAACATAGGGATTGGCCTTATTTTCTTCCAAATTAATCTAAATCACTAAAAAAAATTCAAACATATATCATAAATGATCATGCACTATCACCAAGTTAATATAAATTTGTCAATAAAAGAATTTAACTCAAAATTTATGATAGTTTTGGTGGACAATGAATTAAATTGATTGATCATGACAAGACTACCAAGAAAAGGGTTTTTTAGAACAGCATTTTACATCTTAAAAAAACAATTGTTGCCTTGTTAAAAAAATTCAATTTGTGAAATTAAATACCAAATTATCAATGGATATATATAATAATCTTGATAAGTAATTCTGAAGTAACCATAAATATCAATGAACATAACCATAAATGAGCTGTTAGTTAAATATTATTAAAGTCTACTTCAAAATTAAGAATCTTCAATTTGAATTTTGATTGCAATCCAAAAAATTAAAAAAACAATAATAATTTTATGGTGCATATTGAAAAGTATTTTCTATTAACATTAATCCTAAACATATATAACGAAACTCACTTGATAAACTATTAATATTTAAAACATCTTCTTTATTAATTAAAAAAAAAAATTGGCAAGTACTTTTGCAATTTGCACTCTGTTTTTTTCTTCCCCCTTTCCCTTTCCAGTGTATTATCAACAATCTTAATATGACCACCTCGTCTCTTCTTCCCTTTTATCCTTATCTATACGGTATTATCTCTCTCCTCAACTCATTTTAAAATTCCAACACTCCCCCAAAAAAAATCAATCATAATATTTTCAGATTTATTTGAATTTAATTCCACCTTCAAATGATAGCAAAAACATATTTTCTTACATTAATACAATATTTATTTAAACTTTTATTTTCAATATACTTTTACAAAGATTAAACATAGATTTAAGATCAACAAATAATTAATTTAATTGATAAAAAATTATTATTTTGATAAAAAATTTTAAATTTAAGTATAATCCATGATTCTTTGTTAAAATCATCTCAAATATAATTTTTAATTATTATTAAATATAACATATATTATTTTAATTTAAAAAATTAAATAATCTATGAATCTTGAATTTTTAAGAATTAAAAAAAAGGAAAAAACCAGATTAAATATTTTTTTTTACTAAATTACTGTTTTTGACAGCAAGTTATCATCTATAGTTGGTCACCCCCACTTGTGAGTTGTGACCATTAAATTCTTTCCATTCTTTTCGTCTCTTTCTTAACTTTCTCATAAGAAAAAGAAAGAAGGCAACTCTTTTTTGGGACTGTCAAATTTAAAGAAAAAAAAACAAAAGATGTTAGATATCGAAATATCCCCAAACATTTATTTCTTCGTTTTTCATTCCGCTTCCCTAGATTCTTACAGATACCCCCGTGTGCTAGACCACACCCGTCTCTTTATAAGTCTCCCATTTCTCTTCTCTCAAAATCTCTTTGTATTTATATTCATAAAAAAGAAAACCCATTTTTTCTCTCTTTTGACTTCACCAAAAAATACCCTTTTTCATGGCTATCTTTGTTCACTATCTTGTCATCACCGCCATCATCTCCGCCGTCTTCTTCCTCCTCCTCCGTGCTTACCGTCTCCGGCGGCTCTGTTTGCCGCCGGGAAACTTGGGTTTGCCTTTTGTTGGGGAGACTTTACAGCTTATAGCTGCTTACAAGACTGAAAACCCTGAACCTTTTATTGATGAGAGGGTGAGCCGGTACGGTTCGATCTTTACAACCCATGTTTTCGGTGAACCGACTGTTTTCTCTGCTGATCCGGAAACGAACCGGTTCATCTTGCAAAACGAGGGGAAGCTGTTTGAGAGTAGTTACCCCGGTTCGATATCGAATTTGCTTGGGAAGCATTCTTTGCTTTTGATGAAAGGAAGTCTTCATAAAAGAATGCATTCTTTGACTATGAGTTTTGCTAACTCATCAATTATCAGGGATCATCTTCTGATTGATATCGACCGTTTGGTCCGGCTCAACTTGGACTCCTGGACCGACCGTGTCTTCCTCATGGAAGAGGCCAAGAAGGTAAAAAATAAAACAAAAATAAAAAAACTCTCTCCATCTACATATTAATTTTATTTTATTGGGACTGAGTTGCCTCGGTGATGAACAGCCCGAGTTGATTAATGATTATAACACGTTAAAAATGGCGGTGGTGACTCAGATTCCATGTGGGGTGAAAAGTTGACGGCTGAAATCATTCTGTTTAAAGCATCATTTCAGTGCACACCTGTGATAATTATTCCTTTTTTTTTAATTATTATTATTTTTAATATTTCATGATTAATTACCCTTTTTTTAATTGTTTTCTTTCATTTGTCCTTCAACAATAAACATTAAATTTTATTTATTTATTTTTTTTTACAGATAACTTTTGAGTTAACAGTGAAGCAGCTGATGAGTTTTGATCCTGGTGAATGGAGTGAGAGTTTGAGAAAAGAATACGTGCTTGTTATTGAAGGCTTCTTCACCATTCCTTTGCCTCTCTTTTCCACCACCTACCGTCGAGCAATCAAAGTATGTTAATATCTCTTAACACTATTAATCTTTCTTTTGCCTTTTGGGTTATAGAATTCGAATTCAAAACCTTCAATTTTGAAATCGATTTCAATATCATTGAATTAATCACTCATTCATAATATATAATAGAGTTGCTAAGGGGGATTACAATAAAATTTGTTGTTAATGGGGTATTGAAGGCTAGGACGAAGGTGGCAGAGGCATTGAGCTTGATAGTAAGGGAAAGAAGGAAAGAGTATGAAGCAGGAGAGAGGAAGAATGACATGTTGGCAGCATTATTAGCAGGGGATGACAATTTTTCCGATGAGGAAATTGTAGATTTCTTGGTAGCTTTGCTTGTTGCTGGCTATGAAACAACTTCAACTATCATGACTCTTGCTGTCAAGTTCTTGACTGAGGCCCCTCTTGCTTTGGCTCAACTCAAGGTATGTTTGTTTGGGTTTTTTTTTTTTTGGAAAAAAAATTGAATTTTCATAGTGGGACCCTAACAAAAATGATGATCAAAATTGGCCATTCCTTTTTGAAGACTCTCATTTTCATTATCTAAAAATAAGTCTATAAACCATTCACACATGGATGGGATGATGGATCGCATGGGTTTTCTTTATTTGTTTGGACTATATAGTATTACCAAACAATTACGTTGAAAACCTACTTGGCAATGACAAACATGAGTTTGATATGGGAACTAATAAAAAGGATTTTCTTTCAATTTTAAACACATTTTAAAATGAACTATATGTTTGAATTGACCTACTGTTCTCCTAGGATAAAATACTAAAATTTATGTGATTATTTTATATTTTATATGAAAATTATGTATCAAAATTTATATTAATATAAAAATATAAAATATATATAATAATTATTAAAATTTTAAATTATATTATTTTTATATTATATTTGTATAGTATTTATTTGTGATTTGTAAAATATGAGAGAGAAAAGAAAATTTTACGTTGAAATGGGGGGGAAGGGAAGGAAGAAGGGTCTGTAAAATTTGTGGAGTTTGTTTCAATGGTGTGGTCAAAAGTAGAGGCAAAAAGTACTGAAACATAAAAGTCAAAGTAGAAACTGAAATTTGTCTAACCGGACAAAATGATGCGTCTCCAAACTGCACGCCTTAAGCTGTAATAAAAAATTCTATGAAAATTAAAACAAAATCTGACCATTTGTCAGAGTCTCTGATCAATCTTACTCTTTGACCATTTTGTCTTTGGCGAAATGACCATAAAGCCCGTTTCCAGACTTGGAAATTTGAGAGGGTATTTTTGGGTCTTTGGGAACGTTTTTGTGTGCAATAGGGTGTATGATTTGACCCTTGGTCCACAGGTGAATCGTTGGGAAATGAGCGGTGCTGATTTCAAGGGAAAGGACCATCGGACGGTGGTAAAGTTTGAAAGATGGGGGGTGGTGTCATAAGCTAGGTCACGACCCTAGACCTAAGCAAACTTTTTGATTCCTAGGATTGCTTTTGTTTTAACTCTCTACGTTCACGTGATGGTTTGAATCCTAGCCGTTTGATTGTCTTTGAATCAGTGTTATGCAGAGTGGGACCATTCAAGGGCATTAGGGCTTCTGAGAACACCATATGGCCCATGATCTTTGAGGCCCACATAGGCCCATGGGTCATAATTAACACCAATACTAATTTTTTACTAGTATTTATTTATTTTTAGATCAAGCACTATTATTTGTTGAATGCAGGCTTAATTCATTTTATTCATATAATCGATGAAATTCAATTTTTAATATTTATAATTTTTTTTATCCTCCTACTACAGGTTTCTTTTACCAAAAATACTACTATTTGTTAATTTTTAATTTATCTTTGATTAAACCTTCCTTTCGATCGTGTACCGAAAGGAACCCAGTGATTTGGGTTGCACGAGGAATGACTCACACATTTACCATAATTTTTTGTTCTTAGATTGGCATGATTTTCATGCTGACATAAAGTTATAATCTTCAATGCTCTAATTATTTGCTTTGGCAGGAAGAGCATGAGGGGATTAGGGCGAAGAAAAGCGAGTCAGAAGCTCTAGAATGGAGTGATTATAAGTCAATGCCATTCACTCAATGTGTAAGTTCGAACATTGCAATGGTGGAACAAGGGCTTTAATTTAATCTGCCCATGTTCTTCCTTCATCCTGATTTCGCATTTTAATGTGTTTTTCAGGTTGTTAATGAGACATTGCGAGTGGCAAACATAATCAGTGGAGTTTTCAGGCGAGCAATGACAGACATTAACATAAAAGGTCAGAAATACACTTCTTCCGTGGTCTAATAATCATGTAACTTCAATTAAGGCTAGCTTTTGTGCTTACTTGTAACTGATCAATTCAACCAGGTTACACAATTCCAAAGGGTTGGAAGGTTTTTGCATCGTTTCGAGCTGTACATCTTGACCATGATCACTTCAAAGATGCTCGCACTTTCAATCCATGGAGATGGCAGGTAGATTTTTCCTTCACGTGCAAGCGTAGATGCACACTCAGCACAACATAGAATACTAGTTTTACAATTTTTCTTCAATCAATTTGACAGAATAACTCCGGGACGAGCTGTCCTGGAAATGTTTACACACCATTTGGAGGAGGGCCTCGACTGTGCCCGGGATATGAGCTTGCTAGAGTAGAACTCTCTGTATTTTTACACCACCTTGTAACTCGGTTCAGGTATTTGTCAATCCATTTTTTCTCCCTCATTTTCATATTTAGATTAACCTTGTGTAATTAAGTAACCCTTTTATTTCTGAAACAGTTGGGTACCTGCTGAAAAAGATAAGTTGGTCTTCTTTCCAACAACCCGAACGCAGAAGCGGTATCCCATCAATGTGCAGCGTCGAGCTGCATCTTTGTAGCCAATGTAAGGATAATGTAGAAGAGATGTAATCATTTTGGTATGGTCGGAGTTAGTGAATGTAAATTGACTTATAATTCTTATTTGTTGGGAGTTGTGGTATTAGTAGGAATGGAGGTAGCAGTGGTCTTTATTTTGATTTTTTTATCCATATTCAATTGTAACAATTCCCTGATGCTAGCAGCAAATTCTATTTAAAAAATGAAATTCAAAAGAGAAGTTAAAGAACAGAGAAAGATATGGAAATTGAAATTGTTTATCAAATCAAAATCATTGTATCAAAAGTTTAGCTTAAACCAGGTCAATTTAGAAAACATGGTTAAAATCAAACTCATTCCTCACTTAATCCTAATACATCAGAAACAAAATCTGGCATGCATAACACACAAAGCATGCTATGCCGATCTAACTCCGGCATGCATAAGACTCAACAAGCTGTTCCGGTTGATCTATACCATACTCTATTCTCGTAAGATGATACACATTGGTTAACAGTCCTCCTGGTGTTATATCATAAGGGAGAATGTAGATAATTATAACCATATACATATAAAATAACAGCAATGGAATGCTAATTTTTTAGCTTTATTTGTAGAGTCTCTATTGCTTGGTAATCGAATGAATGCCAATCCTTGAGTTTTATTTGTAAAGTTTCTATTCCTTAGTAATGGAAGCCCAAAGATCTATGAACTAGTTCGTGTTTGATTAGTCAAACAGACAAACGGTTATTCATCAAATTTTTTTTAATTCAATGACCATAATGCAAGGGGATATATAGCTAGGAGATGTCATCATTTATTTACGTCAAGCACTCATTCAAGACTTATTTAAACCATTATTATTCAATAAAGAGAAGAGTTTTGGTTTTAGTTGTTCGGGATAAAGATAGAGAAAAAAGAAATTTTCATCGTTTGTGGATCACTCGAATAAATACAGAAATTCGCGAAATAATAGAAATACACAAAACATGCTGTTGGTGGTATGGAAATCATATTCCTATTCAATGAGGGAGTTAATTACTTGGATATAATAGCAACTGATTTCAAAATGAAAGTAAGATTTCCACAAAAGCTATGCTTGTGTAAAGTTACCTGAGATATCTTAAAGTTTTTAAGCTCAAAAATAGCTCTCGTTCACATTTTTTTCTTCAGATGATCACTTCATTTACTATTAATTTTAATTTCCTCCAATATTTTAACATATTGAAAAATATTACTTTAATGTAAACCAAAACATTTGAAGACAATATGGGTACCAAGTGAAATGAAAAAGTTTAAGATAAAAATCAAGAATCATTCATTATGTATTGTTCATATAAAACTTGTTCTCCATGGAAGTTAAGTCATAAGAATTTTATTTTAAAAAAATGAAGGCAAAATATTCATTTTAATAACAGTTTTATTTTTATAAGATTAATGTAAAAAATCCTTATTACTTAACTTGTGGAATCATTTTAATATTACGTAATGTATTAATTTATATTACTAAATAAGTTTATATTTAATATTTTAATAGTGTATAAATTTTATATACTGTTAATGAATAAGATAATACTATTTTATTAATGAGATAAATCCTTATTACTTAACTCATTGAATCATTTTAATATTACGTAACGTATTAATTTATATTACTAAATAAGTTTATATTTAATATTTTATTAGTGTATAAATTTTATATACAGTTAATGAATTAGATAATACTATCTTATTAATGGGATAAATTAAATAATAATACCTTATTAATGTAAAAAATATTTTGAAAAAAATATTAATTTTTATATAATTATTTTAAGAATTGATATTTACTTATTAAGAAAGTATTATCATATGATTTATTGATAGTATATAAAATTTATACATTAAAATTACATAAAATTTTTACACCGACCATACATCAAATATAAACTCTTACTAAAATGAATGCACATTGTCTCTTGAATGTCACTTGAGCGTATGGATGAAGTGGGTTTTTAAGACCTATGCTTAATCACCAAATGTCTTTTAAACGCCAAGTTAGAACTATGTAATAGCGGAGTCTATAGCCACATCAACATTATAAAAATTAAAAACAAAACATGCAATCTCTATAAAAAAATATTCAAAAATATTTATTGATAGGAATGAGTTATTTATTTAACATGTCAATACACGAACCTGATTCTTCTTCTAATATCAGTAAATTATTCATTCATGAGAGACATTTAAAAAATTATTTTTTTTATATGCCACATATTTGAAATTTAAAATTAATAATAATAAATAAAATTAAAAAACTGTGATTAACAACTCTTCTATTAAATGAATAACTTGAGTAGTTTCAGATATTTAAAAAGTAAGGTGGATGACATTTGATTAATTAGATTCAATGATCAATTTATGATCCAATGTTTGGGTCAATTTTCAATTATGGAAATAATGCTTAATTTGATACAGTTCAAACCAGGATTTAATTTTTTTTATTTTGTTCAAATAAAATTTTTTTAACAAAACTAGATAATACGAACATTAAATAGCAAGATTTCTTAAAATATGTTGTTGATATGTTATTTTCTGCACATATAAGTGGTCATTTATTAAATTTTGAATGGTTAAAATACTCAATAATTTTTTCGAGTTGTTCAGTTTGAGCTAATTATTATTTATTAATAAGAACTAATATTTGATAAGTAAATTGTATTAAATATATTTTAATTCCACAAACGAGATTAAGAGATATACACATCTCATTTTATTTTTAATTAATTTAGTTTCTATTTTTAAATATATCTTTAAAATATGTATTATTATTTTAATTCCGTTTGTAAAATATAAAAACTCCATAAAATAAAATTTCTACTACTAATTACACAAATGCAAATTGAATAATCAAATGCGAAGCAAATGGAAAATGCATTGGATGGGATGATCATATATATGTTTAAGAACCAATAAATGGCATGCAAGCAGAATTATAATACCTGTTTTCAAAACCTCAAAGTTAGGAGGGAAAACTTATTAATCTCTAGGTTAAGCTACAAAATAAAATTGATTATAAATTTTAATTATTGGATTAATAAATTTTCTATGTTCACCCTTTTTCATCCTCCCTATCAAGCAAAACTTAAAAATTTCATTGGCTCTTAGTCTTCAAACCATGCTGATCAGACATAATTAATCACTTCAAACATCTAAACTATACAATAACTAGAAAAAAGCAATCTGAAAGGAAATAATGCAGTAAAGCGAAGATATCAGAAAGTAAGAAGTAAAAAATTGCAAAGCATAAGAGTAAGAATATGTAAAACAAATACAGGGTAGTATATAAAATAAATGCCATGATGGATTGAAAATGGAGCTGAGGGTTTAAACAAAAAGTTTTGTCATACGCACCACAGTATTCAAAAGTCCAAACAGAGTTGTTAAAGAGAAAACAATTTCAACTAATACTAGCAATTAATGAACTCCTTTTCTAATATTAATCAACAGAAAATAAGTGCAACTATAACAAAGATAGTTGACGCTCATACAGTTTTTGGCAGCGATCCATGTTACCAAGTTGATGCTCAAGCTCAATATACTTGTTAAAAATCTTAGCATTGGGGGCCATCCCAATAGCTGTGCCGAAAATGCGTCGTGCAGCTCTAAGATTCAAATCTCTCAGTTCAAGCTCAGCTGCCATTATCCAAATCTTTGAGAATGAAAATGTAGCATGGGGAATGAGCTTAAGACACTCCTTGTACACGTCTCTGGCACGCTCCATATCTCCAGCATCAAGCTCCTCATATAAAGCATACTTTATCCACAAGTAAATGTATCTCTTCCAGTGGCCCTTCTCCTTTTCCAGAGGCACATTAGCAATGGCCCTCTCATAAACCTCCCTAATCCTCTCCTTCTCCCCTACATTCTCTTCCAGCCTTATGTAATCGAACCAGGCATCATAATTCAACGGATTCTTCCTCACTTCATCTTCATACTCAAACTTTCTCTTACTCACAATTGCATCCTCAATCCCTTGTTTGTTCCCATACTGATTCTCAAACGCCAGAAACTTGCTATACAACTCCATTGCCTTCCCCTTTAGTGCCCGATCAAGGGCAAACTTGTAAATGACCCGAGCTCTCTCAGGCTCGTTACAGAGTGCTTCAAGCTCAGCAAATTCAGCAAACAGTTGGGCAGCATCGTCAAACTCAGCCTCATTCAAGCTCTCCACGGCGCGTTCGTAGACGCGCCTTGCCCGCCCTGCTTCTGAGTTGTTCATCTCGAACTTGGCGTACTTAATCCAAGCACTGACGGACATAGGGTGGCACTCAACCAACCGCTCGTAAAGGGATCGAGCCCGGTCCAACTCGTTGTAGCGAAGCTCAAAGTTAATGTAGGAGATCCAAGCTTGCTGATCTGGCATCCACGTCATCCAAGCTCAAAGTTAATGTAGGAGCGCCGGCGATGTTGCTTACAATCTCCTCCAAGTGAATATATTTATACCAGAGCTGATCAACGCGGGGGAGGACGGTGATGGCGCGGTCAAAGATGTTTCGGGCGTGGTTGATGAACCTGTTCCTCATCTCGAATCTAGCGTACTGGAGCCACAGAATGTGGTTATTGGAATCCATCTCCAGTCCTCTCTCCCATATACTCCGAGATCGCTTCAACTCCTTCTGAGACTCTTCCCATTGCGCGTATTTGATCCATACGCTCGTGTCTCGTCGGCTCCGACGGACTCTGTCTTCGAATTCCCTTCGTTTCTGAAGCTGATAATCCACGAGCTCATTGGCGTCACGAATCTTTCGCTTTGCTGGACGGTAAATTGAGCCGTCGCTTTCCTCATGAACATTGCGAATGATATGGTCGGCCGTTATTTGAACCCGCGCTGGCGATTTGTCAAGAATTTAGAGATGTAGGGCTCATATTCAGATATTTAAGGATACATACACATATAAATATATATATATTGTCATTCAAGTAAGACAGAATCTTATATATTAAAGGGGAAGGAGAAATGTTGAGATTCGAACTCTAATTTTGATGTCTTCTTTAAGATTATTTTGATCACTAGATCAAGCAGCTGAAGACATATATATATATATATATATATACCATTAATCATAGAAATAAATTAATATACATGTATATATGTATTTAGTTAAAACAAAAATAATGAATCTAGTGATAATTATATAAAATTTAATTGAATCCTTAATGATGAGATGCAAATTAAGAATCTCTTTGGAAAAGGGTCCTTAGCCTAACCCATAACTACGCAGTCTGTGATGTGTTAAAACATCAAATACATCAAGTGAAAATACCCATAGGTTCGAATGTATTTTCACAAGATTCAATACTTCGAACAACAATGGTCGGAGGTATGTAATCTATTTTCATTGCGTGAATCTCATCTAAGCATCTATTAGCTTCTCTAAAGTTATCTAATACTGGTACAGTATGTAATATTATACAGTCAATCACTTCTAAGAATTTATTATTACTATTTAAACTATTAATATATAAATCAACATTTATTAAAAATATACAATGTTTTTTAAATGATTTAATAAAAACTTTAATAAAAAATTAAATTGATAGATTAAATAAAATTCAATGTAGAATTAATAATACATAAAATACTAAAAATGCAATATATAATTCAATTTTATTGATATTTTTTAATAATAAAAATTCTATCAAAATTTTATCATCTTTATTTTAGTTAATTTTTTTATTACAAAATTTATCTTATAAAAAATTAAAAGTAAAAAAAAAAGGAAACCTAAAAAATTAAAAATTAAAAAAAAAAAAGAGGAGGTACCACATGAGCACCCTAACGTGATAGATCACTTCAGTTCCATCTTCAATCCAACTCCATTTTAAAAAAAAATTCTCTACTCAATCTTGATTTAGAAAAACACATCTACGTTGGTTTGGTGTGAATCAATAGGATATAAATTATTTATTATCTTACTTCCACTAATTTTTTAACAAAATTATTTAATAAAAAATAAATTTCAAAAACAAATAAAAGCTTAAAAATTTTAATAAAAAAATAAAAATAAAATACATATAATTTTGGACGAAGAGAGGGATGCCACGTGGGCACCCACTCCTACCTCCATTGTTTAGAAAATTAATTGTATAAGATAAAACCTTGCATACTTTACAATCCCCAAGGCTTTTCAACCTAACATGTTTTATAATCTTTAACAATTCTTGAACCTTAAGACTTTTTCCATATCTTAAGGCTTTTCCATTTTGCACTCTCTACAATTCTTAAAGCTTTACGAGCTTTCAATCCTGACATCTTTTAACCTTACATATTCCCTTCCTAAAATTTTTAACAATTGAACTGAATGGGGTTTTTTTTAACAACGATTTTTAACCAACAAAGTAAATAATTATATATATATATATTTTATATTGCAAATAATAGTATATTCAAATAATAATAATAATAATGTAATAAAATAAGTCGATATTATAAAATTATAAGCATTCGAATATTTACATAAAAAATTATGAGAGTTCAGAAAAAAAAAAAAAAAGGTATGGCCCTGAATTTCATGAAGTGTCTCCAACCTGTTCTGGTAAGGATGCAAATGAATTTGGGGTATTGAATATATTTTCACCCAAGGTCATGAAAAGGCCTTTGGCCCATTTCTTTCTCTTTTAAATATTTTTATATGTGATACAAACTGTACACTCAAAATCATGAAAGAATGTTGGATCTATCCTCAAAATCATAGCCTCTACTTAGTGATACACAATCACCAGCTATATAATTTTGCATATATATATATATATATAATATGTTCAGGATCTATTTGTATATAGAGGAGTTTTATGCTGCTACTGTCTATCTGCTTGTTTTCTTCTTTGATTTTCAGGTTGCTGATTTGTTTTGGATAAATCTGCAAGAGGAAAAAGAACATGATGAAAAGGGTTGAGTGAGTTGTCTGATGTCATTGAATATAATAAACAAACAAAATATCAAACTGGTTTGGTTTCTGGTTTAGATTTTTTATAACCTTGGTTCATGGTTTCCACATCATTACCCACAACTAACAGATAAGCACATGTGGTTTGCAACAAGACAAAAAGGATTGCACTTCTTTTGTTGAGACAAAATGGGTAGTAAGTTAATTACCTGAAACCTGGCAAAGAAGAATGTGATGAGCCAAAGGGGAAGGGAGATTTTTTGTAGTGGAAATCCTTTCATTGTTAGTTGTATAGTATTTACTTCACTCTTTCTTCTTGGAGAATCTTCTGATACCTTGCAAACCCATTCTTGCAAGCTGAAATCTGTACACAAATAGAAACATCATCCATCAATTACAATTCAGTTTATTACATTAACATCTTCATTTGCTTAAATCATCTGGTTGAAAGATTGAAAGACTTGATGGCTAAGGTCTATGTTTACTCGAATTGAGGATTAAGTGTCAGATCCAATTATGTGTCGGACATGAGTTTTTTTCAAGTATTTTCATAAGGATCATACATTCATACTAATGTATGGCGGTTTCGTGTCAAACATAGAAAGAATCAGAAGCAATATAGGCTAAAGCTTCTAATTAAGAGCTTAATCTTCTGATTACTTGCTAATGTGAATAATAGACATACAAAAAGTTGCTTTTCCAAAGGATAGCATATAGATTAGGATTAGCAAACAATTCCTCAAAGTTGTTGTAAGTTACCCATATGTCAAGAATTTTGAGATGTAGGGCTCATATTAGATACTTAAGGATACATACACACATATAAATATATATATATATATATATATATATTGTCATTCAAGTAAGGCAGAGTCTTACATTAAATGGGAGAAAAAAAGATTGAGATTTGAACCTCAACCTTGATGTCTTCTTTAAGATTATCTTGATCACTAGGTCAAGCAGCTGAAGACATATATATATATATATATCATTAATCATAGAAATAAATTAATATACATGTATATATGTATTTAGTTAAAACAAAAATAATGAATCTAGTGATAATTATATAAAATTTAATTGAATCCTTAATGATGAGATGCAAATTAAGAATCTCTTTGGAAAAGGGTCCTTAGCCTAACCCATAACTACGCAGTCTGTGATGTGTTAAAACATCAAATACATCAAGTGAAAATACCCATAGGTTCGAATGTATTTTCACAAGATTCAATACTTCGAACAACAATGGTCGGAGGTATGTAATCTATTTTCATTGCGTGAATCTCATCTAAGCATCTATTAGCTTCTCTAAAGTTATCTAATACTGGTACCGTATGTAATATTATACAGTCAATCACTCCTAAGAATTTATTATTACTATTTAAACTATTAATATATAAATCAACATTTATTAAAAAATATACAATGTTTTTTTAAAATGATTTAATAAAAACTTTAATAAAAAATTAAATTGATAGATTAATAAAATTCAATGTAGAAATTAATAATACATAAAAATATTAAAAATGCAATATATAATTCAATTTTATTGATATTTTTTAATAATAAAAATTCTATCAAAATTTTATCATCTTTATTTTAATTAAATTTTTTATTACAAAATTTATCTTATAAAAAATTAAAAGTAAAAAAAAAAAGGAAACCTAAAAATTAAAAATTAAAAAAAAAAAGAGAGGAGGTACCACATGAGCACCCTAACGTGATAGATCACTTCAGTTCCATCTTCAATCCAACTCCATTTTAAAAAAAAATTCTCTACTCAATCTTGATTTAGAAAAACACATCTACGTTGGTTTGGTGTGAATCAATCGGATATAAATTATTTTATTATTCTTACTTCCACTAATTTTTTTAACAAAATTTATTTAATAAAAAATAAATTTCAAAAACAAATAAAAAGTTAAAAATTTTAATAAAAAAATAAAAATAAAATACATATAATTTTGGAGGAAGAGAGGGATGCCACGTGGGCACCCACTCCTACCTCCATTGTTTAGAAAATTAATTGTATAAGATAAAACCTTGCATACTTTACAATCCCCTTTCAACCTTGTATGCTTTTCAATCCCCAAGGCTTTTCAACCTAACATGTTTTATAATCTTTAACAATTCTTGACCCTTAGACTTTTTCCATATCTCAAGGCTTTTCCATTTTGCACTCTCTACAATTCTTAAAGCTTTACGAGCTTTCAATCCTCACATCTTTAAACCTTACATATTCCCTTCCTAAAATTTTTAACAATTGAACTGAATGGGGTTTTTTTGAACAACGATTTTTAACCAACAAAGTAAATAATTATATATATTTTCTATATTGCAAATAATAGTGTATTCAAATAATAATAATAATGCAATAAAATAAGTCGATATTATAAATTATAAGCATTCGAATATTTACATAAAAAATTATGAGAGTTCAGAGAAAAAAAAGGTATGGCGCTGAATTTCATGAAGCGTCCCCAACCTGTTCTGCGAAGGATGCAAATGAATTTGGGGTGTTGAATATATTTTCACCCAAAGGTCATGAAAAGGCCTTTGGCCCATTTCTTTCTCTTTTAAATATTTTTATATGTGATACAAACTGTACACTCAAAATCATGAAAGAATGTTGGATCTATCCTCAAAATCATAGCCTCTACTTAGTGATACACAATCACCAGCCACATAATTTTGCATATATATATATATATAATATGTTCAGGATCTATTTGTATATAGAGGAGTTTTATGCTGCTACTGTCTATCTGCTTGTTTTCTTCTTTGATTTTCAGGTTACTGATTTGTTTTGGATAAATCTGCAAGAGGAAAAAGAACATGATGAAAAGGGTTGAGTTAGTTGTCTGATGTCATTGAATATAATAAACAAACAAAATATCAAACTGGTTTGGTTTCTGGTTTAGATTTTTTATAACCTTGGTTCATGGTTTCCACATCATTACCCACAACTAACAGATAAGCACATGTGGTTTGCAACAAGACAAAAAGGATTGCACTTCTTTTGTTGAGACAAAATGGGTAGTAAGTTAATTACCTGAAACCTGGCAAAGAAGAATGTGATGAGTCAAAGGGGAAGGGAGATTTTTTGTAGTGGAAATCCTTTCATTGTTAGTTGTATAGTATTTACTTCACTCTTTCTTCTTGGAGAATCTTCTGATACCTTGCAAACCCATTCTTGCAAGCTGAAATCTGTAAACAAATAGAAACATCATCCATCAATTACAATTCAGTTTATTACATTAACATCTTCATTTGCTTAAATCATCTGGTTGAAAGATTGAAAGACTTGATGGCTAAGGTCTATGTTTACTCGAATTGAGGATTAAGTGTCAGATCCAATTATGCGTCGGACATGAGTTTTTTTCAAGTATTTTCATATATTTGAAGGATCATACATTCATACTAATATATGGCGGTTTCGTGTCAAACATAGAAAGAATCAGAAGCAATATAGGCTAAAGCTTCTAATTAAGAGCTTAATCTTCTGATTATTTGCTAATGTGAACAATAGACATACAAAAAGTTGCTTTTCCAAAGGATAGCATATAGATTAGGATTAGCAAACAATTCCTCAAAGTTCTTTCCTTTGCAAATGTTTTTCCTTCTTTACCATGTGAATAGAATAAATAGATGGAATTCGAATTTGGAAAAGGTATGTATAAATGAGCTTTAAATGATCAACAACTTTACCGCACACTGCTTCTACTTGCAAATTTAAGAGCAAACCAGTGATGAAATTAACCAGAGAAAGGATTTTCGATCTCAAAGTGATGTATAAACATTCATATATTCCATATATTCTGATGAACGTGGGCACAGTTGAAGATGGCATATGCCATGTGGTCAAATATGGCACATATTTAGTCCCCCATCCCTATGGGCGGCCTGCCCATTACAGGTTCCATGTCCAAGATTAAATGTATTTCTTTTCACTTGGAACTTGGAAATCGAAGTAAAGAAAAATCAAACATGGACCCTGGAGATTATGATCATGTCAACCTTCAGCCCTTTCAATCAAGAAGAATTTTAAACCAAACCCCAGACATCTAAATTTGACCCTCCTTCCACATATTTTAGGTAGATTCCTACTCTTTATCCCACACATAAATCTGACCCTCATGAAAAATTTTGAAAAATATTGAATGTACTCATATCAAATTTATATATTATTTGTAACCGAATTTAAAATTTAACATAATTAATTTATTCAATCATTTTTAAAAGATAATATATAATAAATTTAAAGTTTGAATCTTAATACCTATAATCTTTTTTTTTTTATAAAAAAAAAGTCATATATGTATCCTATTTATCAACCCTAGCAGGCAAGCCCTTTGTTTTCAAAAGCACAGATAAAGCAGAATTACGGAATTCAGCTTCAAAACTGTAAATAGGTGCATTCAGAACCACAAATGGGTTTGGCATTAACCTAATGCTACAAATATGTGAGGTCTTTAGATTTCCTCTACAAGATACCCTAAAATTAGGCACTACCCAATGAAAAAAAAGAGAGAAAGAAATAAATTAAACAGTTGACTTTCTGGAAAAACAAAATTTCAACTTGCTTCAGTTTTGGTGTGAATAGGTGGACCAATTGAAGTTTCCTTATTCTTTCACTATAAGCATCTAGGACAGGACAATTAACGGTCCAAATTTCCTATGCAGACTTTAAATGTAAATTATGATTAATTTTACTAATTGAACCATTTAATTTACTACTTTATTTAATAAATTGGTGACTTTCCTTCAAATTATCAGATTAATTTAATCTCCGGGATCCATAGGAAAATATTTTTTAAAAATTTAACATATCCATATTTAATACATATCCATATTTGACACTTAATCCGAATCCGGGTAATATAGATTTAATCAGCAAGTAATTACTGTTCTATAAATTGAGAAGAGAGAGGAAGATATGGGAACTTACAGCTTCAATGTCAATTTTGTAGACAAGGAGTTTTCTTCTTTCTCTGCAGCTTGTTCTATATGCAACAATTATATGGGCAAATGCCAAGGCCAATGAACAAATGAAAAGAGCAGTTTCCATGGCTGTAACATACCCTTCTCTGGGAACACCCGAACTGAACACGAATGAAGCTTTTAATGAAACAAAAATCAAAGATGAAACAGAACAAATCATTGTAATTCCAAGGTAAGGTCCCCTGGAAAGTTTTGGCCCATCACAAAAACTATAAACACCTGTCAAAAAACCAACGACAACAAAAACCAATCAAAAAGTGAACTTTGCCTGATAAGAAACAGTGAAAAATCATAGTTTTTGGTTTGGGTTTTTTTTTTGTACTTACAGATTATAACAGCTGATCTGATGATTGATATGAGGGGAATATCAATGAGAGAATATCTAAAATCATAGTTGCTGAAATGGGAAGAGAGGGTTTTGAATGATAAAGAAGAAGGAGAAAGGGAAGCAGAAAGCAAAGCAGAAGGCAAAAGGGTATCAGCAATAACAAAAAAAACTGGTGCAGAAAAAAGAAGAAAAGAAATCACCATTGTTATCAAGAAAAACACAGTTTTAACACCTCTCCAAATCCGTCTTGATTTCTCTTCCTTTGAAAAACCCATCTCTTTTTTTTTTGGCTTTTTGGTTCGGGGGATTTTGGGTTTTGAAAAACCAGAGTTTATGTACAAAGAAAAAGGCTTGAAAGTTGAGAGAAAGCAGAGAAAAAATTAAACTTAGAAAAAGAAAAGAAATGGCAATGAAGGTTCAATGTTTTGACTGTACTTGTCCTGTGAAGGAGAAGTGATGACAAAGACTTTGGAGCTTTTCACGCGGAAGCAACGCTCGATTGCATTGGAGGGAGGAATCTTGTTAACGGAAATACCTATATACAGATTTTTATAGGACAACTAATAATGACATTTTTTTTTTAAGTTTTTAATTTTAAATTGAAAGTTTAATTCACATGATTAATGTAATAATTTTTAAAAAGTAATATTTCATAATTTTAAATTTTAATATGTATAATTTATTTTTATTTTTAAATTATGAATTTTTTTCCAAAAAATTCAGAATAAATTAAATATATAATTATCACGATAAATGCAATTAATTTTTATGTGGAAAGCATTTTGTTTCATAAACATATGCTTTAGATTCTTAGATTTTACCTCAATATACAATTTGAAAAATAAAAGGGGAGAAAACAAAGAAATTTTGGTTCTTTCCTAAAGATGTTGGTAACTGTCTACATAAATCATTTATCAATGTTTTAATTCAATGATTTAATTAATTAGTAACATTATTTTTTCTTAGGACAAAAGAGATAAAATAAGATATTTTTAACTTATGGGTGATAAAGATCTAAATTAATTCATTTTTTTCAATAATGCATAGTATTACAAATTTTTAAAATTCGATTTGAATTTAAATTGACTTTTTTTAAAAAATCAATCTAATTCGAACTAAATCTTATTGGTTTGATTTTGTTCATCAATTTTTAAATTTTAATTTTTTATATATTATTTTAATAAATTTTTTATAGATTTATGTATAAATAATTATTTTATTTTATAAAAATTTAATATATATATAAAAATTAATAAAAATATATAATTCGATTTAATTTGATTTTTTTAATTTTTTATATTTTGATTTAAAATTTGATCTAAACTTAATATGTATATTTAATATTCGAATTTGATCCAAATAAAATTAAAAAAAAACTTATCCAAACTAAACAAATCCTACGATTACGAATTAGTTTTCAATTTTCTCAAAATTTTTTCTCATCCCTATTTTAAATAACTATTTCTTTTTTCAGTTACTAAACTATGTTGTTTTTTTTCTACCCCAAAATAAACAATGTTTTTTTATCATCAATCACGCGGGTATGGTGGAAACCGACGGTTCAGGATCATGTGATCACATGCAAAAATTTGTCCTTGAGAATCTCTAGGTGTTCTATATATTTTTTTAATCTTATAAAAAAAATCATAATTCAGAGAATTTGCTTTTAATTATAAGCTATACTAGTTATTATATAAAGGTATTGTGGTTGGATTTTATGGCAGTCAAGATTGCAAATTCTTTGAAAAGATAAACCCATCTTGTATATGTATTTTCAATGATTTTTAATCATTGGCAATTACTTTTCTTAAAAGGGTTTTTTTTTAATTTTTTAAATTGGCAACAATTTAGAATACACAATGAAATTAACTTATTTGTAATCTTTTGAATATTTTTCTCTTATTAATATGTAAATTCATCATTTATGAATCGATATTTAATTCAATTGATTCATATAATTATTTTAAAAAATAATATACAATATGTCAAAATTTAAATTTCAATACTTACAATTTTTTCTTTTTTACTTTCAAGATGAAACGAAAAGTATATAAGTATATGATTAAAATGAATACTTTTCCATATATGGAAGAACTTGAAAGAAAATTATTTCTTCCTTTCCTTCTAGAATTAATATAAGATTTTGTCTAAATGACTTAAATTTGTCAGGTTTATATATTCCATAATTATAGTACCATATACCAACCATTGATGTATATATTAATTTGGTAAAAGATTTTTCAGGTTCACAGGTTGGACTTTGCATATAATTTTTTATTTATATGGGGAAGTTTGAATTTTTCAGCCTGGCTGAGCTCATGTCTTGATGACTATATAAAGCTTTTACATTTGTTTGAAATTGAATTACTTATAATTATTTTATTAATAATGATCTTCAATGTGAACTTGCACAAAATCATTTCTAATTTAAAAAAAAAAAAAATAACTTGCTAATTGCATAATCTTCTTTATTCATATGTATTGGAGTCTATCTTTTTCTATACACTGTTTTCCAACTTTATATTTCTCATCCTTCCAACAACTATATCATTGTTTTACCTATCCTTTTCAGCTTTTATATTTATAACATTATTTTTTAAGTGATAAAAGACCTTTTATGAAAAAATATATATAACCGTTTTTCAATTCCTTTGAAATGGTATATCAAAAGAATATTATAACTTGAACTTAGGATTTTTATTACCAACAAATATTATTTATTCATAATATTAAACTCTTAATTTCAATGAATATGATCGTTGGAAAAATTAAATAGAATTAGATAATCAAATTGATTGAGTTGGGAATTAATGGCTTGTTCGATCCTATTATAATACATAGAATCGAAAAAATATTTAATCATTCAATGGGATGAATTGGACCAATTTTAATTTTTCAAAATCTTTTTAGATAATAAAATTTAAATTCTTAACCTTCAAGTTAATTAATCAACCATTGAGTCAAGTGCATAAATTTTTAAAAATATTTACTGTATTTAATATTATTAAGTTTTCAACAAAAAAAAAATCTCATTTAATTGTATCGGTCAATTGAATCGGTTGAACCAAAATCGAAAGCCCCATAGATTCAACCTTTGGTCTTTTTTTTTTTTTTTTTTTAAATTAAACATTGCGTTTATTCTCTCTTACTTGATTGTTGTTTGGAAATTGGAGAGGATAGTTGGATAAGACAATACAAACGTGTTTCCCATTATTCCATTTGGTGGTTGCATTGGCCATTGATGGGCATGCATGTGCAATGTTTTTATTAATTACTCTTTCCAATCTTTCCCATAACTACTCCTTTCCTTCATTTAAAGATGCTCTTTGTTCTATATGGTAAAGATTCAATACCTTTTTAATATCTCTAAATAAAAAACGAAAGAGCCAAAGAAAAAAAACAGTTCTTTCTTAGCCATCTACTTTTCTCTCATGCAAAACAAAAAAAAATTCTGAAAATTAGCCTTTTTGAGTAGGTGGAGACACGTTCGCTTCACATGGGCACTTCAATATACTTGAATTTGTCTTATAAATTGGCTATACCTAATTATTTGTATATTTATATCGTGTTTTATATGAAAATTATGTGTTTCATAATTCATGTCGACATTAAAATATAAAATTTATTTTTTTAATTTTTTTCATATCATATTCGTATTATATCACCTTTAATTTTTTTTATATCGTATCACTATATTGTATTTTAAATTATTAAGTATAAAATTAGATACATTAAATTACTAATTTTTATTTTAAAATTTCAATTTATTAAATATATGATCCTCCAATTACCCATGGTTTAAATTTCACATTTAATCGATTTTCTTTTTTTTTTAAGTAAAAAAAAATCAATAAAGTTTTGTCTCAATTTAAAAAAAAATTCTTAGATACAAATTTCATCATATGTACTTCAAGTATTTTCATATAAAAAATTATAAATAATTCATGCTTTGGCATAAGTCTAAGAAAGATATATGGTAACCACCTTTAGCATGTGAAATTTCAAGTATAAATGGAATCAGACCATTTTTTTTGAATTGTATATTTAAGTTAGGAATTCCCATTATTTTTTCGTTGTTGGAGTAGCTAAGCAGCCTTCTTATTTTGTAATTGATTTGGTCAAAATCCAAATAGATGAATTGATATATTTGGTTGTATTCTAGAGAGATGCGTTCCTTATTGGACAAGTAGTCAGGCAAATTGCCTATTAAAGCCGCCAATGGCCGGGCTAACGGTCAAATTTAACCAAAACGACCCAGTTTCTAGATCAGCAGACAAACACATGGCCCATGAGGTCTAAGAGAGAATGATCTGAATCTGTCTGTAGGGTAATTAAAGGAATAAAAAAAATGAGGAAATAATGATATGTGCTATAATTATTTTTTTAATTATCACTTTTTACATGATAATTAATCAATTAAAATTGAGATTAAAGTCAAATTTATCACTATACTATGGGTCTATATTAAGTTTTATCATTGTATTTCAAATTCATTTAATTTTATGTGAAGATTTATATTCAATTTGTAAATTATTAATTATTTTAATCTGAAAATTTTACGATTATATCTAAAAAAGATATTTTATAACTTTACATTTAAGTCTCAATTCATATATTATAATAGATTCTCAAAATATCTTGATATAAGATTGAAGTGTCACATTTTACCATTTTATTTTCAATTTTGTTGATAATTAACAAAATTCGATGAAATTTGTCATATGTATGAACGAAATATTTCAATTCCACTATGTTTTGTCTAAAATTTTGTTAGATTTTGCTTTTGAAGGGTACATCTCTTTAAGTTGCAAAGGAAAAGAGAAATGACAATGTTCTTGTTAAAGAATTATTTGATTACTTGGTGGACTATGAATATCGGTTGAGTTGGATTTGTTGACAGCATTTTGGTATATTATTTTTCCTCCTCGCTATCTTTCCAAGCTAAAATTGCCTTGATCAATTAATGCCCTGTTATGAGTTTTATTAACTTACTCTAGTTGCTTATCAATCTCCCTACAATGAAAACAAAGTTGCAATTACACCTACTTCGATAGTCTTTCACTCTTTTTTTTTTAAATTGTTGTTAACTTGATATTTGTCATTGGACTGACCTCAATCCTTTAATAATCTCCTATTTTACTTTTTTTTTTTTTTCATTTTTAATAGGATAGTTTGATATTTCCTGATTTCATCTGAAGACTTATGATTTTCTCCTTTTAATTTTTTTTTGAGTTTATTTACCGAGAAAGAAAAGAAATTATTATTTAGCAAATTTATCGCATTATTGTTGGGTTTAATAGGCAACGGTGGAAAATGTAAAAATTTTTGTTATCATTGTATCAAAAATAAAATCATATAATTTAATAATTAACTTGCAACATAGAAAAAATTGCACGAAAAAGTAACATAAAAGTAAATTTGTCAATTTAAAATATAATATGATAATACGATATCAAAATTATACGAATAAGAGACACAAAAATGACACGATCAAAAATCATAAATGAATTTAACAAAACAAAAAAAATATATTTTATATTTTTATGTCGTTACAAATTATGACACATAATTTATGTATAAAATATGATACAAATATATAAATTATTAATATTTTACATAACACGAGTACGCGAATTATCATATTTATATAAAAAAATCGAATTCATTTTTTTATGATAAAAGTATCAAAAGCATGTACAAGATAATTGAACAATTGAAACATAAGATTATGTTGTCCACTTCCTTAAGGTATATATATATATATAAAATCTATCATGCTTTAGCCATCATGTGTAAGTAAAATCTAAAAGGATGAAAAGCATTGAGAGAGGAAGTGAAATTTCCTCAAAGGAGTGTTGATTCTCCCAACTTGAATCTTCTGCCAAACTGTTTCAAAACAACTTAAGCTATAAGTTGAAACCTTAAACACATGAAACTGTGCAACAAAAGGAAACTTTCATTTTGCATTACCAAACATTTAGAAGAACTACAAGTCTTTGTCTCACTAGTTACTTCAAAGTACTTTGGTTGGAAGTATTAATTTTTGGGTCAATTATGTTTGGACTACCATTATTTAAAAATTATCTCAATAACATAAAATTTTTTAATCTTTTTTATATTAGAAAAAGCCGTTGCAACATAAGAAATTGCGTGGCAGATTCGAAATAAAATCAAAGCAAACCAACTATGATTAATATCAATTTGATTAAGATTTTATTAATTAATTACACATTAATTAATCCATATTTCCCTTTTTTTTTTTAAAAAAAAAATTGGGTCTATGCTAAGTGATAACGTGAAGCATTCTTGAAGCTTGCTCTAGAAAATACTAGTACTAAAAATTTGTGGCCCCTTGTGTTTTCCTTCTGAACGAAGTCTAAAGGCCAAGGCATTGGATGCTTGATATGCAAGATGCACACGTCTTACCCACGGAGAGAATAGGGTTTTTTTTTTATTTTTTATTTTACAATGGATTTTGTTTGATATATTATATGCTTTCTAGAAAGCAAGTGAGGGGGGGGGGGGGATCTTGCATGATTATGGCACATTTTTATGATGTTTGGATTTTCAACTTCTTTTATAATACCGTTAGCATATCTTTATAATTTATTCGATCTTAATTTTCTCATTGGATGATTTTAAGAACCCATTTTTTTTTTTTATCGATTTAGTGCATTTAAGAGTTTACTTTTAAAATATTTACGTCGAAATCAAATCTTACATGACAAAAAAAAAAAAAAAGGGCTCATCCTTACGTCTTGAACTAATCCTTTGTGAGTTTGGATTTGCAACTTTCGCAAGGGTTATCACACACTTTTTAGCTTGAAAATTGACTACAAAGTTTATGTCACCTATTAAGTCATCCAAGATGTAAGCTATCCCTAAATTTTTTTATACACATTTCTTTTTAATCCTTTCGTGTTAATATAATAAACCTAAAAAGCTAAGATATTTCTATAACATAATATATATATTCAGGATGTCTATTTCCATTTGACGATGAAACCCTAAATCTACAAGCTTTTGAAATTTCAGTGAGAATTATAATTTAAATTTAATTCTTTATCTACATTCACTCGAACATAAAATTTTTATCTCACTTAATCTAAAATTTAATCTAATTAATTCATGTAATTATAAGATAAAATTTAATAAATTTAAATATTAAATATCAACATTTGTAATAATTTATCTGACACCTCTTTCTATTAAAAAATATTTTATTTCACTCTCACTTTTTCTCTCATAATCATTTGATATATATATATATATATCATATTTATATAATAATCTCATTCCTTTTTTTTTTTTTTTTTCATATTTTAGTTATGTTGGTGAATTGAAGGTTTCTTATTCCTAGAATGGACCACAGAACCTCTAAACCAGATAATTTCCCTTAAAAAACCAAAAACAACTTAGATCTAAAAAAAAAATTAAAATTGAAAAACCCATCTTTCACCTACAAAATGAAAATTGTGGGCTCTTGGCCTCTTTTTGCTTATCAATGAAGTGTAAGTTCTGGATTTGCCTAAAAAAGAATTAGTGTTTTCAGGTGTCCTGCCCATGGTGAAGATTAGGCCATTGGAATGTGATGTATTTGTTGAAAGTTGAGAGGGGGATTTTCTGACATTTTGCTCATTTTAGATTTGGGATTTAGGCTTTTCTTTTGTCGTTCATTACACGATGTTGTTGTAGGCTTTTCTTTTGCTATTTATTTTTATATTATAAAAAAATTTTAGGTAAATTAACTATTAGATTAAAAAATCTCTATTGGTTAAATTGGCTTCATCTTTTCAAATCTATTTTATTTTAAGATTATTATGTCATATATTTAAGATAAAATTTTAAAATCTACAAGTAAAGTTAAAAGATTATAATGCAGTCTTTTGCTTATTATTTTAATTTTTCATTTTTTAAAATATAAATATATCTTAATCTTTTAATTTCGTTGTAAATTTTAAAAAATAATTTTCTTTTATTTTATAGTTCTAATCTATTTTGGGTGGGTAAACTGGGGAAATAAACATCTCAAGGCTGTGGCCCATAGCTAAGCTTGCAGGATTTAGCCCATTAAGGATAAATCATGGGGTTAAGTTATCTGGTTTAGACCCTGAATCCAACCTAACTTTGGCTCATTAAGATAAGGTATGGGCTAAGCCTAAAAAACCACGACGAGACGGAACGTTTTGTGGGCTGGAGGCGAAAGCCGTAAAGCATAAATTGGATTGAGACTGAATACAAGAGAAACGAAACGTCGCGTAATTGCTCTGCAAACGACGGCGGAACTCTGAAGCAGGAAACTTGAATCGAAGAGATTGAAGAAGTTGCCATAACTTCCTCATTTGAAACAATTCAAAGGGGCCTTTTCTTGGTTGTACTCTGTTTTGTCACTTAGGAAACCCATCGAAAGCAAATGAAAAACACTCTTTTGAGCCTTTTCTTTGGTGAAGTTTATTAATTAAACCCCAAATTATTATAAAAATAAATAAAGAGGGTGGACCAAACCAGACCCGTTAGCCTCGTACAAATCAAACTCCAAATTACCATAAAAATAAATAAATAAAGACAAGAAAAAACAAACCGTGAAACATAAGCGAATTATTTTCGCTCGCTTGCCCGTTAGCCGTGCGATCTTCCAGAAAAACATGGCAACGCGATCCCTTTGGCGCACGCGGGCGAAGCTAGCGGTTGCCGCCACCGCCTTCTGCGGGGGAGGCGCTGCCGCCGCCGCTATAGCCACCTCTGACGACCCTGCTACAGCTCTCAAGGTCTTCACCATCGTTCCTCGCCGCCTTCTCCGTGACTCCATTACTGCCGCCTCCATCGTTTTCGGTACCTCAAAAACCATTTTCAATTCCTTTAGACTTTAACTTTATATTTTATTTATTTTTTGATTAAGAGATTGACTAGACCTTAAAGTTTCAATCTTGAATTAAAAATCTTAACTTTAGTGGAAAAAGCAGTTGAATTTGTTAGATTTAATGGGATAATCAAGGGGTTTTTTTGTTCATTCTTTAAATGCCATAGCTAGAATTTTAGCTAGTAATTGGGAATTTGGTTGCTTTATTTTCTTTTCAATTTTGATAACCCTTTTTTTTTTTTTAAATTTTTGAATGATGATATTAGATTATGAATACTCATTATGGGGACTGCCTGAAGGAAGTAATGAGAGAGCAAAGATTAAACATGAAGTTCATTTAAGGTCAGCGCGAAAGCTTCAAGAACTTTGTTTTAGAAATGGAGGAATTTATATCAAGCTTGGCCAACATATTGGGCAGTTGGTATACTTTTACTAATGCTGAGTTTGTGTCTTTGAATATAGTTGAAAAATGTGTTTTTGGATTCATTATACAACGTAACTGTGGGTTTGAGCTGAAAGATTTTGTTTTGTTTAGGAGTACCTAGTTCCTCAGGAATATGTTCAGACAATGAGGGCGTCCATGTTGAATAGGTGTCCAGTTTCTACATATGATCAAGTCTGTGAAGTCTTCAAGAAGGAACTCGGAGACACACCTGATAAAGTACGTATTGTTTTTAAACATAATGTTTTTATGGGCAGAATTTGATTTTTTTTTAATTATTATTAAGGCTGGTAACTTTTTTTCCAATATAAAAAGTGCTTTCAATGTTTCTTTTCACATTTTGAAGCTCTACTGTCCATTTAGACTAGCTTTTCATGTGCAGGTCTTCGATGAATTTGATCCCAAACCAATAGCTAGTGCCTCTCTTGCACAAGTTCATGTTGCTCGTACTCATGATGGCCAAAAAGTTGCTGTGAAGGTTTCAATCTTTGTTACTGTTACCTGGAAACATTTTCATTTGAATTTTGCAGATGTAGGAATCAGAATGTTTCTTGTTAGGATTTACTTTCCATATCCAAATTATTTTTCTTGAAATCCAGGTTCAGCACACTCACATGACAGATACTGCGGCTGCAGATCAAGCTACTGTGGAATTTCTTGTCAACACTCTACATTGGTTATTCCCATCTTTTGATTACAGGTACTGTCTTTTAGAATTTCCTTATTTGGCTTCTATATTATGAGTTATGGTGCACATATAACTGGATACATGACTGCGGAGTTTGCCTGACTTGAGGATTTTTTTTTTCTGTCTTTCTCTTGGGTTTTATGTTGTTTTGAACTGTTAGAGTTCATAAATTTTCTTGCCTTATGCATGCAGATGGTTGGTGGCTGAAATTCGAGAAAGTTTACCCAAGGCAAGTTGCTTTGATAACCTTCTCTTTGATATTTTCCAGTATTTCCTTTATGTCTTGGTATCCTTAAAAGGTTCTCTAAATTTACTCTTTTAAGAACTCTAGATGTATTATAAAATTGGTTTCGTTATGACATGGTACTGGTGTGTTTTACTTTCTGTCGGTATACCTTCCAATGCACCCTTGATTGTGAAAGACGAGTATGTGCTATTGTCTCTTGCTTGGATATTTATGTTTTTCGATTATCCAATATGTGTTTAGCTTTCTTTCCATCCAAGGTGCTATAGCATGACATTTAATTGTTTCTAACCTTTGACATCAGGAGCTAGACTTTTTGATAGAGGCAAAGAACAGTGTGAAATGTTTGGAAAATTTCCGGAAGCTGTCTCCTCATATTGCAGATTATGTATATGCACCTAAGGTGCATTGGTCTTTAAGTACCTCAAAGCTGTTAACAATGGAATTCATGGATGGTGCACAAGTGAATGATGTGATTACCATTAGAAGACTTGGAATCCAACCCAATGAAGTTGCAAGATTAGTAAGTTCTTGGCTTGATATTGTTAACCAATTATTTTTCTGCATTTAGAAGCTGTATTAATTCATCTTCGCTATACTTTTTATTAACAAGGTTGGGAAAATCATTCTGGTATTATGAGAATGAGACTTTAATATTTATGTGTAGGAAAGAATATATATATATATATATATAATGATTATGGTTATGTGATTATTATAAGATATATGCAAGAAACTAATCTTGATGATATATATGTAATCTGTTTCTATGCAGGTTAGTCGAACTTTTGCTGAGATGATATTTAAACATGGATTTGTTCATTGTGATCCGCATGCTGCTAATTTATTAGTTCGGCCATTACCTTCTGGCAAAAGGAGCATTTTTGGTGAGGGTTTCTTTTATGTTGAGATCATTCAAGAATGTCTCTGGTAGTTCTTAACTAGTTGAAATTGGGAAGAGTTGATGTTAAATCTTTCTTGTTTTCTTAATGATTCTCGGTAAGCTAAGTATTATTCTGTCAGTTTTTGGTGAAAGCAATTGGATCTCTTCCAGCTTGACCCGTCTAGGATGGTGCCCCCTCTTTCTGCACGAATTTGTTCACTGCTAGTGGTGATGCCATCTTTTAGATTTTCAATCATAAAACTGCTGAGTAAAGGAATATATTGGGGAGCTTTTGATTCGTAAGGGAAAAAATTGGTTTCTAAATGTTATACATTCATAATAAATTGACTAAAACCTGCTGTACCAGTGTACCTCTTTCCAGAGACTCTAGAATGTGGTCATGGAAGAAAAGTAGAGAAATCTAGAGAACATTAGGCCTTCCACTGAGATGTATAAGAACTCATCCTTTTTAAAAATCTCAGTTCCTGTGATGCATTTCTTTTAGAAGCTTTTCATGTGCTTGGTTGTGAAGTTTAGTCACTTCTCCAAATAAAAGATTAGGATTCCTGATCTGAATATTTATTCTATTTTCTTTTGTCCTTTTGTACGCAGGCAAGAAAAAACCACAGTTGATACTTCTAGACCATGGTCTTTATAAAGAACTTGATTTCTCTACCAGATTCAGCTATGCTTCTCTTTGGAGGGTACATACTTTTATGGTTTTTGTTTGTGAGCAACTTGATGATGCATTTTGTTCATGCTTTGACATTCATTGCAGGCATTGGTGTTTGCTGATGCTAATGAAATAAAGGTAAATAGTGTGAAATTGGGTGCTGGGGAGGATCTGTATGCGCTATTTGCAGGCATTCTAACCATGAAGCCCTGGAATAGGGTCATTGACCCTGCTGTGGATCATTTGGTCTTAAAAGGCACTGACAGTGATCGTTCAGAATTACAGGTGATCTTATAAAGTGTTGATGTTTTTATAGATGCCTTCAATGATAATTTTTCTCGCGGTTACTGGTTTCCTTCTGAGTTAGGGTCTGATTCCAAATGATGCTCTGTTTTTTGTCTTAGAGATTATTATTTCTATATCAGTAGGTTGGAATGCTGATTTCTTTTATTTGATTGGTTCTTACTTCTTGCTTGGTGATGTCTATCTTGTTTTGCAGATGTATGCATCTCAATATTTCCCCCAAATATCAAAGCTTCTCAGCAGACTCCCCCGGAATATTCTATTAATGCTGAAGACAAATGATTGCTTAAGAGCAGTCAATAACTCTCTGGTATTGTCTAGCTTGCCGCATCTTTAATTTCATCAAGTTCTTGTTTGCATAAGGTCACCAATAATGAGCCTATTGTTCGAGCATTATACCTACTTTCGAATTTGGATTTGTCACTAAATTGTCTTGACTGCTGCTTGCATTTTGATTTTCATGGACAGTTACAGGGTTCTTCTCTCGAGACATTTCTGATCATCGGAAAAGTTTCTTCTGAAGCAGTTTTTGAGGCAAAGATGATGCAGAAGAAATCCTTATTTCGGTGGTTAATTATCCAGTTGGAGGAGCTCTTGTTGGAAGCTCGTCTTTTGGCAATGCAAATGGCCTTGTGGCTTTTACAAGTAAAGAAAGCATTGACTTGGACATAGATTCAGTTTTGAAAGTAGTTTCTCATATCATATTAGCCTTTTAGGCCCCAATATTTTTTGCCTCCGTTGTTGGACCACCTCCATGCAGGTTATTTGAGCTCGGATTGACAGCCTGATTCTTTATCTCTTCAAAGAAAGGAATAAATTCATGTATTTTTTTCGTTCTTGATTTCGTAAAATACCCCATCTTCTACGGAACTTAGTCAATTTTGTAAAACCCCATCAAGGGGGTGAGTGATAAACTGTAAGAAACTTCATTTTCTAAACAACAGTGGATTGATTTCAATGACACAGAATCAGAAGATTATTGATTAATGAACATGGTAATTTTGTTCATATACATATTTGTTCATTTCTTGTGACGAGCTTCATTGAATGATGGCACTATTCTGGCAAATAGAATTAAATTCTCTATCAGAAGAAATAGACTAATCAACCAGTTTTCTCACATATGTTTAAATCTTTACTATTTCCTTTGGAAATGCCCTTAGGCTTTATAACTCATAAATCATTGCAGCATTTGTAGTTGGTTTCTGATAACCCTTACTTTCCCTCTCTTGCTTCCCTCCTTCCAAAGCTGTCCAATCAGGGAAAAACCTTGCCCCATTGGAAGCAGCAGCGAAAAAAACCATAAGACTCCCAAATTTGCCAGGCTTATTAAATGACTAGTAAAAGCAGAACTTTCATGGAGGTGAAACAGATTTGGAAAATGAAGGATGGTTTTCTCTTTATTAAAGGAAGATGGAGAATTGTTTATAGGTTTTATTATGGTGATATGGATGGAGAAAAGGATGAATTAAGAGTTAAATCTTGAGTTTTTTTGGCCAAAAATTCTTGAGATTTGATTGGAAGACTTGTTCCTAATTTTATAATAAAAGAAATGTGTAACAAGTTGCATTTATTGCTTAGCAAAGTTTGGTGGGTCATTTACCAACACCACTGATTCCCTTGCTCTCCACCTCCCTCACCCCTTGACCGACAACATAAATGTCACCATCAATTTCCCATCTGTTTTCTCTCCACTGCATAAATACCATGCTGGTTTCGTAATTTTTTTCATTTGAAATTGACAGAATTTAAATTTAAATTATTAAAATTAAAAATTCAACATTTTACCGATAAATTAAATTATATGACTATTAGTGCTGCTTACATACTCGGTTTTACTAATATTTCGCAAAAAATACCCATCTATGCATAAGAGAATATGTACAAGAGAACTTCCTCATCTGTGTTGTTTGAAGTTGGGATGATCGACAACTTCAAAGCTTGAAACTCATGCATAAGAGAACATGCAATGCATGGCATTTTGTCAAAATTAGGCATGTAAAAAACCTAACTATAGGTTCTAGACTGCATATAGACTTTGTCCCCACGCAAAAAAAAAAAAAAGAAAAAAAGAAGCCAGTATAACAAAGCATATCTCATAATATATATTAATTATTTTTAATGTAACTTATTTGTCCCCTTTTTAATCCTGTTTATGAATTATTATTGATCATAAATTGTAAAAAAAAAAAATCCTATAGGTATATTAATTTCTAATGCATAAGTTGCATGCCATGTTGACTTTTGTTGATATTAATTTCGAATGTATAACTTTCATGATATGCAATGACGCGAGGAAAAAATAAATACTAATTTTTATTAATAAAAATGATAAAATAAATTATTTACTTATAGTAAATAAAAAAAAGAGAAAAAAAAAAAATGAAGAAGAGTGTAGTTGGTTTTCCAACAACCAAACAGAAGCTAAAACGCCTATCATAAATAGAGCAGAGAGAAGCACGTTGGGAGAAGGCTGATCTTAGGCTCCACTTTCCTTTACATTCACATTCAAGGGATAGAAGGGAAAGTAAAGGAAAAAAAAAAAGAGAAAGAGAAAAGAAAGAGAAATGGTGGGACCAGTTAGGCCACAGTTCGTTCTCTTTGGATCATCCATTGTCCAACTTAGTTTCAGCAATGGTGGATGGGGTGCTATCCTTGCTGACGTCTATGCTCGCAAAGTATTTTCTCTTTGTTTCTCTCTTTGGGTTATTTTCAATGTCTTTCTTCTGTTAGGTTTTTTTCCATACGAGGTTGTCACTGTTGGTTTGATCCATTGTTGTTGTTTTTGTTGTATTTGTTGTTGTTGTTTTTGTTTATGATAAATGATCATTTGGGTTATTTGATTATCAAAAAAGCTCGGTTTTTTTTGGTATTGATCTGCTTTGTTTGCTTGTTTTAATCTGCTTTCCTGTGTAGTAATCAGGTGGTAGGGGAGGAAAGAAAGAAAAGGAAGAGAAAGAAACATGTTTTGTCCTTCTTTCTTAGTATGAGTGAAATGTGGGAGGGAATTTAATGTGACAGATGAATATTTTAACCAGTTTTTATTCACTATAAATAGCAATTATTCAAATTTCTATGAGTTAAAGGAGGGTTCTATTGAATTTTGGTTATACAGATTGAACCTAGAATTTTGAGAGAGTGAAAATGAGCATGATCTAGAAATAAAGTTACAAAATTTTTTATGGTAAATGTAATTTTCTTTTTATTATTTGATTTCCACTTGTTCTTTGGCCTTCCAATTATTTGATCTCATTATTCTGCCTTTTCTCATCTGTCTCACCAAACAAATTAAGTTACAGTTGAAATCGCATGCTATTAGGCTCTTTGCAGAGAGACATAATTTATGTTCCTAATTCTGGGTGGATGTTCTTGTGCCAATAACTGCACTATGATGATTCTTCTATAATTTGCAGATGTGAAAGAATTTGCCATTTATATTAAGTCTCTTACTTTATGTGTGTTGTTTGTGTTCTATGGGAATCCTTGCAGGCTGACATACTTTTACGAGGATATTATGGATGGAATTCACGGCGTGCCATAGAGGTGCTCGATCATGTTTTCCCAAAGGTATTAAAGTTTTGCTACTTATTACATCAAACTTCTCAAAATAGTGATTAATGCTTTTGGAGCATCCATGTACTATCCAATTTGATTTTACATGGTCACACTCCCAAATATGGGGAAAAAGAAAAGGAAGCCATTATCATTAATGAAATTTCTTCAAATGGTTGAAACCATAGAAGATGTTTGCTCAACCCTGGATATTGGACTCAGACAGTGCTTGATGCTAAAACTTAAAAACCAATCTGTGAACATGTTAGTATCCTGATAAGGCTTCCTGTAATTTGTTTGTCAAATGTCAGAATATTTAGCTAAGATAGTAGGGGAAACATTTTCTATCATTCTGTATGTGATTGTCAATTATATAGGTATTAGTGTCCAGGTTCATATTTATAGGATATTCTCTCTCCAAAGTGGTGTTTTGATATTAACATTGTATTTCTGTTTTCTTATGCATTACAGGATGCTGCTACGCAGCCTTCTCTGATAATAACTTATTTTGGCGGTAATGATTCAATGGGGCCTCATCCATCTGGCCTTGGCCCTCATGTTCCACTTCCTGAATATATTGAAAACATGAGGAAAATAGTAATTCATCTTCAGGTACTTTCTCAATATATTGCTCAGTTGATGTTGATGCATTACTGTCGCTGTTAGAGAAACAAGCCAATCTAGGAGTTGTAAGGCAATACTTGCAATCTATGGCATGAAGTCCGTAGCTCATAAGCATGGAGAGCCGATTATGTGGATGTTGGAGATAGTGCAAAGATGAACTTATTCATTATTTAGATAAAATGTAGAGCTTTATCATGTGAGATGGAGCCTACGGAATATGCCAAAATGTTTTCAAGAATAAAAAGATATAAAATCAACTACTGGAATGACTTCTTAGGGGAAGGAAAAGGAAAAGGCTGACTCATTTTAACAGCAAAAGTGAGAGGCTCTTCTTGAATGCAATTGAGAAATAGACAGAAAATCTTCATTCTTATGAGGTTACAGAAATGTCCTATTTACTTGGACCAGATCAGAGAGAAGAAAATGGTTTCAAATGCTTGAAAATTTTCAGTTTTTCATTTGTTTGCTTGTATTTGTGAAATGGCAGCCTTAAGCTCAACCTAGCCGGTCTTTTTATTGTCTGAGACTAAATTTTGATGCTCATTCTAACTTCTTTTTCCTTTTTCTGAAAATCAGAGCCTTTCAGATTCAACGCGTCTCATTTTTCTTACATGTCCTCCTGTTGATGAAGATAGAGTAAATAAGAACACAAGGTGCTGTAATGCATGTTTTCTATGCCCTCTTTCCCTTCTTTCTTAATTCTTATTGCAAAATGTCAATCTAAGATGCCCCTTCGGTGAATCAGTGAATTTTTAAGCCACCTTGTTCGAACAAATGAGTTATGCCAGAAATATGCAGAAGCTTGTGTAAAGCTGTGCCAGGAATTGGATGTGAAGGTGGTAGATCTTTTTACTGCATTTCAACGAAGAGATAATTGGACAACTGATTGCTTCACGTAAGTTTGCTTATCTACAATTTCCATATCTTTTTTCTAAATCAATTACATTTTGGAAGTTCAATGGCTTTATTTGTGAATCATCCATGTGCTTTATGTTCCACTTACATCTCTTCATATAGCTTTCGTCTGTCTTCTCCCCCCCCCCCCCCCCCCCTTCTTGCCAGTTACTTTAGGCAACATCTTGATAGGGTAATTTTGGGAACTAGTGTATCTCTTGCTGTAGTATTAATAGTTCCTGTATGGAAATCTGAAATGGAAGTTCTGCTGCCAGTGCTAGTTCACTTGTGTTCTGAAGTTCCGAAAACATTGATTTTTCCTAATTCCAACATTGTACAATGAAATTTCACACAAAAAATCTAATTGGATGAAAGAGTTGCAGATTTTGTTGTTGATTAAAAAAATTAAGAAAGAAAGAAAGAAAGCCTCTCTGGATTAAGAATATGTAGCAGGAACAGTGTCTTAGAATGGGTGCAAAGAAGAATGAGATGCCGGAACCAAAATTCTGATTCTAGATACTTGAATGAAGTTTAATGGTGCTTGAATACCATTAATCTTGGGGAGACCAAACCCAAACTGTAATTACAATGGAGCAGGATTAGGCTCTTTTCTTTGTTTTCTTTTTGTTTTTCCCTTTTTTGCTATATATAATTAGTAATGGAGTGGTTACTAATCTTTCAAAGTTTGTCCTTTCACTAATTTTCACAAGTGAAACATCAAACTTGCAGTCAACTACCTGCAGTGAAATTTATCTCTAAATTGGTTTATCAAATTTATGGTTTTCATCAGTGATGGAGTTCATCTATCTGCTGAGGGGAGCAAAATAGTAGTGGCAGAGATACTAAAAGTACTCAAAGAAGCTGAATGGAAGCCATCTCTACACTGGACATCCATGCCAACTGAATTCTCAGAGGACTCACCTTATGATCTTGTTGCTGCTGATGGGAAAACCACGTTGAATCCATCCGACTGGACATTTCACCGAGCGATTCAATGGAACTAGACTGCAGAGTTCTCTTCAGGTTCATGAACTCCAAATCCCATAGAATTTAAAGCTGTCCACTTGAAACTGAAGGAGGAACAAAAATTTGTAGAAATGACTGAGCTATAACATTTTATTACTATGGTTGCTTCTTGCAGTTGATTCTTGTAAAGTTTCTGTATTATAGTAAGTTGAATACCTATATAATAAGCCTAGAAACACCAATTTCAAGCGCAGGCCTAAGAATCTTTGATTTGAGTTTCCAACTGGGAGAAATTGTTATTTTCTAATTTTTCATGTGACAGTTGAATTCAATCTCATTATGATCTTATTTGGGGACACGTCTCATGTTCCTTCCTTGAAACACACTGTTCTTACATTGTAATAAACAGAGTTTTTAAACACTTCAGCATATCATAAAACATTGGAAGACAGTTAATTGGACTCACCATTCATGCAATGTCAAGATCCAACAACCTAGAAAGAGAAAACATGGAAAAAGACAAGTCCCCATGATTATGAAGGATGAATTTGACAGGCTGAACTAGGAGTGTACTCAAGTCCAACTGTGCGATGCAAGAAACTCAAGTTTAATTCAAAATTTGTTATTTGTATTCGGTTCAAATTTAATCAAATTTTAATTTTTAAGTTCAAATTTGATTTGTAATAAATATCGAATTTCTCAAATTGATTTAATTCGGGTCGCTTAGTAAGTTGAGTTGCTTCAGCCGCCTTTTTTTTTTTGACCTTTCCCTCCTTTTCCCTTCAATTTTCCCTCTCAAAAGAAATCAAATAAATCAGCTCAACTATTCACATAGTTTTCTTTTGCGTGCCTTTTTCTTTACCCATTTCCTTCTTCCCAGAATCAAAGAGAAACCCAGAAAGAGATAAACAAAGAAAATGGCAAATTACTACAACATCGATGATATTCTTACAGAGGAAGAGGTTGGTTAACACTTCCCCCCTCCCAATTTTGCTTACTTTTAAATTCCCAAATTTCCAATCTAAAAGATCTCATCTTTTTTTTTTTTAATTGCAGTTTGTTCCAGTTGTTTTCCATAAATCTGCTAATGGAGTTATAATTGATCCCAGTTCCGAAACAAACTCCGTAAGTTTTTGTTAAGCTTTTCCTGTTTAACCTTTAAAACAAAAGGGTTAATTTTCTGATGTTTGGTTCTTAGGTTGAACAAGGAGCAAAGGTGGAGTTGCCATTGTGGCTTGCTCAAGAATTATACTTAAGGCAAGCAATATCAATAAGCGTTCCCGCCTGTTTCAATCAAAAGTAATTTTTCCCCTAAATAGCTCTAGAAAATTGTTATTTTTCTGATCAGGTAGTTTGGGCTGTAGTTGTTTTTCAATTGATTTTGAATTTTGATGATGTTGAATTTGGTTTTGTAGTTCCGTTAGTTGTTTGATTTTATGTCTCAATGAATTTTGTTGGACTGTGTTGTTGGAATGGAAGGACGATGATTAACTTATTTGGTCGTCCACCATATGATTTTCATGTCTTGATGATTTATTTATTAATTTATTTGCTTGCAAAGTTGTTTTTGTGTGTTATTGATGATATTTTTTTGGTATGGGCAGAACAAGACTGGAGATCCAAGCTGATGCAGCTTGCGTGGATCTTAAATTTCGGTCTCCATATTTCTATGAGTTTGGATGCAAGATAGCACCACTGTGAGTCTCTCCTCTGAGCAAGACTGATTTAAATAGGTTTCAAATTAGATGACGAATATTAGATGCTCGTTCGTGTTCATTGTGATTAGAATTATAAGCATAAACTTTACTTACTTTAAGGTAGTTAGCCTGGTAGTCAATCTGCTATATGATAGTTTTGTTAATTACTTTTGTGGTAAAATTTAACTTGTTAATAGCTAGTGTTGGTCTCATTGAATGCATAATCTGTCCTATCCAATTTTCATGCGGAAACCAAAATGGATTCTCACTAATTTTGTTTTTGTGGGACAGGGTTGGGGATAAAAGTGTTGAAATCTTGCTCTTATCAGCATTTAAGATCAGGTATAAGGAGATCTTGACCAAGGCATATACTGCAGCATACACAGCAACTTCCAAGTTCTTTACCCTTCTAACCAAAGAAGAAACCAATCGTGAGAGTACTTTTATTAGCTTAAGCTTATTTCTTTTACTTCTTTTTTAGATGTAAAAAATTGTGTTTGTGCATCTTGTAGTGTATGAAGCAGCTCAGTCTTCAATGGTGGCCTTTAAGAAGTGGCGGATGGGAGGCCCTAGGCTTCAAAGAGCTTCAGTTCTTGGAAGGAAGAGGAAGCTCATCGAATAGATTTTATTCTAATCTGAAGATGCCTCTAATTGTCATTTGCATAACGGTAAATATTCACCATAGTGTAGCTGTGAATGAAACTGATGAAAAATTTTTGTAAACATGTATATGCATATGATATTCGTTTCATGACTCCAAATCAAAGATCCTTAGACTTCTCTGCTTTTCTTTGTCAGCTAATTTTCAGTCTACTAAATGTTTCTTTGACCCTTCTATTGACAAGAGTCAAGAAATACATTGTTTCAGTGACTTAACCTAAGGCTCAGAACTTGAATTAGGCTATGTCTTTGGATTCAGTACGTAAGTTATTGGATTTGATTTCTTTTGCATCTTTGTCGTCCTTTCTTTTCTTCGTTATGATGAATAATGATTCCTAGTTTAATACAGGCTTCTTTTCCGGTGCAAATGCCTCAGCATATGTGTAGTATGAAATAATTACTGAATTCTTCTTAAATATGCATGAACACTGTTGTTGGTTCTCAAGATTAATGTTTCATTTGGATGGACCCACGGTCGATTTGCCGCCGGATTCTTAAGGGTTCAATGACAAAATGACACGACATTGATTTTCACTGACCATCCAAAAGAAATTTAAAACTAAGCAAGGTGCTTATGGATATTTTACCTAAGGAATCTAGGGTGAACTTGGATAACATTACTGATTAGCGTTCAATTATAGTCATTTTGATTCTTTTGCTACTGCTTTAGATTTTCCCTCAAGTTTTTAATCAACAATATTGATTTGTACTAACAATGTTTTCTTGTGAAATTTTGATTCGATCAGGCCATGTCTTGGGTGGGCTTTGGAAATCTGTCTAATCTAGGCCCAATTTAAAACAAATGTCTTTATTTGGGCAGGCTAGCAGCTTCAATGGGCTTTTTCTCAAAGCCTGCCTTAGCCATTCACTTTATTCAAGTCAAATCATTTTAATTTTATTATTATACTCCACTTTTTTTTTCTCAAATTTCAAAATTTACAAAAATCCATTACATTTACTCATTTTGCTGTATATTATCCTCAAAAGTTTCAATTTTGTTTTATAAGAATTTGTCTCGTGAAAATTAAAAAAATATATTGCTATTTTTTTTTGAAAAATATTATTTTTGTTGATATGGTTGAAAATTTAACATGTGATTTATGAAAATTTACATTCAATTTATTAAATGTTATCCGATTTTATCAAAAAATTTTATAATTTTATATTATAAAAAATATTTTATAAACTTTTATTTATATATTATAATAAAATTTTAAAATATCGTAAGACTGGGATGTCATGTGATGTTACTAGTCATCTAAAATGGTCGGGCTAAATTTTCTTTAAATAAAAATAAGAAGATTTTTCTCTTTTATCCTCTTATTTAAAAAAATACTAAATCTAATAATAATTAATAATTAATAACAACAAGTGGGGTGGGGACCAGCCATGACATGTGCAATCCAGAAAAAGAACGAAAGAATAAGAAGGCAGAAAAGTGCACTTTTTCGAGATATTTTCTTTCGGAGATATTTTTCTACATAAAAAAGCAACCTTTACTCTTTTTGCCCTTTTTCAATTGAAGTACACCCTAAGATATTTCTTATGTGCCTTATAACCACTCTCAGACACGGCGCGTGCTTATCTACCAACTTCTTTTGCTCCAAAATTGATAACATCTTTGTTGTTTGACTTTTCTCTTAGTATTTTAGGGAAGCTTTTCTTTTCCTTTTTTTTTTTTTATGTTATTTGTTCCTCAAGATAATTCCTTTGGTATGAAGATAGTTTTTAATTTTTTATTAATTAGTATTTGATTTTTATGAGAAATTTTAAAAATAAAATTTTAAATGTATAAGATATATGAAAAAGTGTGAGTGTTTTTAAAATCGTTAAAAAAATTAAGTATTATTTAAAAAATATATCTAATCAAATTATTAAAAGTTTATTTATTTTCAAATTAAAAAATCCACTTAATTTTGTCATAAAAAACTTAAAAGGGTAAATAAAATAATAAATTCTTCTTTTTTAAGTATTACCTAAAGAGTTGTGTGATGATGCTATCAAAAAAGAATGAAACGTGAGATTAAAAAATTAATTAAAATTTAATATTTTTAATGCATTTTTGAATAAAAAATCTTTGTAATGATGATGATTTTAATGAATATCTATTGGATAAAACTTTTTCTTAATATAACAATTTTAATAAATGTAAATCTTTCTAAATTATAGTTACATCATGATTTGCAAAGAAAATACTTTAAATTTAAAAAATTTGAAGTCTCAAAGTACTAATTTAGAAATATTTTTATTTTTATTTTTATTTATCCACCTATTAAATATCATATTTATTGGTAGCATTTAGAATAATATTTAACGCACGTGACAGATACAGCAGTTTACCTTGTTATCCGTAAGAAATAAAATCTTTGTTACACGCACTTTGGTCGCGCGTGGAGTGAAGTTTTCTTCCAAGATCCACAGCTTCCATGGTGACCCGCCCCCAAACCTTCAAGAATTTATACCCCAAAAGTCCCCCCCTTCCTCTCTGCAATGACTCAAACCCAAAACCTCAAAGAAATGATCTGATCACCTTACCCTTTTCTTCTGGCAAATGACCAAACTCAATTCCTCTGAGTAACAAAGAAGAAGATCGAAAAACATGGCCAACAACCCGACAACCAACGCAAACAAGAAACTGAAACACCATCGGAACCAAGATTCAGAGGAAGTGGAAGGAGACCCTGAAGTTTGGGCAACATTTGACAAGAGTTTCAAGCAAGTTCAGTCAGTTTTGGACAGGAACCGTGTCTTGATTCAACAAGTCAACGAGAATCACCAGTCTAAGATTCCTGACAACATGGTGAAAAACGTTGCACTTATTCAAGAACTTAATGGGAACATATCTAAGGTTGTTTCACTTTACTCTGATTTGTCTTCCAATTTCTCCACCATGTTTCATCATAAGAATGGTGATGACCCCAAGAATGGTGGTGTCCCAAGGGAGGGCTAACTTTTGATTTAGAAAAAAAAAATTATTAAGTCTAAATCTTTTAGTTTGTGGCTCTTCAGTTATCTTTTCTATAATAAATAAAATAAAAGGGGTTTTAGCCTTTTAGGTATTAATTGTGACTTTGTTGGTGTTTGGTCCATCTAAAGTAATTGCTTCTGATTTGTGTTTTAAGGACATGATATGTGGGACTGCTTATTGTCATGTTTTTGAAACTTGTTTGAGATAATTTGGGATTTATGTGTTTTTTTTTTTTTTTGTTATGATTTTGTTGCTTTGTAATATTGATGATTAGTCGATTTTGTGTCATTGATCTGGAATTAAAAAAGTATACTTTGATAGGGTATGAATTAGCTGCAGAGGTGTGTTGTAGATGGAATCATTTTGCTTTTTATATTTTGAAAGAGATTTGATCTATCATTGAGTCCAATGCTCGGTTTATAATCCCGACGGAAGTGATTAAAATAAGCTATTGGCTCTAAAATTGTGGTTTTGGGTTGTGTAGAATCTAGGAAGATGAGCTTTTTATGATTTGGTTGGAGATATCCTTAAAATAGGCTCAGTTTCAAGACATATCTCCAGCAAAATGGCATGAAAGGGGAAGCTTTTAGTAATGAACTTGGAACCTCTTTTCATCATTCGTTGATCAAAATTTTCTTCTATCCCAGCAATGGGATTGATTTCCTTCCATGCCGTAACCGATTTTTGATGTTTTTGCCTTAGAAAATCAGGTGCAGTTGCCTTCGCTTTAAGTTTAGGTCCATAATTGGATGAGTTATCTTTCTTCTCCAAATTTGATTTCCCTTATTAAACCTTGACTAGTTTCCATTTCAGTTCTGAGGAATCCAGGTATCCTTTTGTTTCAGGTCTACTTTTCTATGTCTGGCTTGATCACCTTGGCATGCCCTTTGTCATGGTCCTAAAGAGGAACTATGAATTTCACGTTGGCTGATTACTAGAGATAGTATTGAGATATAAAGGTTTACACTACCTTTAATCTGTGAGTTGTTTTTTATAAGACAAAATCGTAATATCAACGGATTAGAGCGGATAATACCTCTCAAATTAGTGTGGATCATGACACCTTTCCTGTCCAAGGGCCGACAAAGAACCGGCACAATAGATTCTTTCCGGTAGGAATATAAAGATATAAAGGAAAATTTGTCAATTAAAACAACATCCATTCCAGCAAGAACCTGGCCAAGTACAACCATGGCCGTCCAACCTTTCAAGGAAACCAATAGCATGCTTAATTTCAAATGGCCTTAGAAATATAGGTTTAACAAAGGGCATTGCTTAATTTCAACTGGCCTTTATGCAAATTTATGATTCCTTAGCCACAATATGGCGCTGTGAAAAGCTCATGCATAAATAGCAACATGATTGACTGGAACAACATAGACAGAATTATCCAAGAAAACCAATGTTGCTCATTTCCACATCTTTCACAAGAAAATAGACAAAAGCTCATACACAATGGTACAAGGCAAGTAAAAGATGATAAAAACCAGCTGTTTGTAATGAAGAATTGTGATCCATTGGTGGCTGGCCTAGCATTCGACATTGACAGCAGTCCTGTTCATAATCAAGGAAATTTTGAAAAAGTAAATAACATCCTGTTCATAATCAAGGAAATTTTGAAAAAGTAAATAACATATTTATTGCCGGGCTTACCGCTTCTCAGTGTTCAAGTTCACTGCAGCACCAATTACTGAAAAACCTCCTACAGAAAGAGTGCATTGAAGGAATTTATGAGGTATACAAGGATCACAACTTACCAGGCCCATCATGCTTAAGTTTGAAACTGCTCTATTGTCACATTATTTCATATATACAGGGCATAATTCCTATCTAACTGGGAATCAACTGAGCAGGTACACCTGGTTGCTACAAGCACCCTGGTTTTCGGATCTTTAAAGAGTATTATGTTTGAATAGATAACAAGGTTATGACTTGTTTAAGGCCAAGTTTGGCAACTTGTTCTTGGGTTGAAACACATTGTGAACACTAGTTTCAGCCAAAGTTTTTGAACCTGCAGTTTGACATTGCATTTGCAATTCAAACCATCTTTTAAGGACTCAGATGCAATGTTTTACTATCCATTATCAACTGCATTCTAGTTATAATCATTATATATATCAGTTTACTCGATTTCGGTAATTGTAGGTTGAAATTTCTCTCACACCATCATTAATGAATAAATGTAGGACCCTGGCTTCTCCACTTTCACTTGTCAAGTTTTTTATGTCCATAAAGGAATATGCTTTTGCTAGTTCTCCTTACCCAGTTATTATAACATTAGAAGACCCCACCTTACACCAGAATTGCAGGCTAGAGTTGCTGAGGTTACTCTTCATTTTCTCCCTTTTCAAGTTAAGCACTTGTTTGTGACGTGTGTCAGAAAAAAAAAATTCCTCTACGATGATCTTGAATGATTTCTCATGTAAATGGTAACTCAAACATTTGGAATTATGCTGCACTACCCTGAGTCAGATTGCTTAAGTGAGTTCCCTTCACCAGAATCATTGAAACATCAAATAATTATTTCAACCAGGACCGAAGACAATTTGTCACCAGGTGGAATGGTGTCCTCTGAAGAAGAAGCATCCCCAAAGGAGACGAAGATTAATATATCTGAGTCGAAAGCTGGTGATAGGTTGTGACATAAATTAATTTTACCTTGACATAAGATCTTGATAATGAAGACTTCAACAAATGTAATCACAAATCAGGCCAAACCGGGTCCTCTGCATACAAGCGCCTGATCATCATTCATGCTGGAAAGCCAAAGGGTCCCTTAAGGATGCATTAAAGTTGCAGCTGATAAAGTTAGACGTCTTGAAAAGTTAAAGACGATTAGCTTGTCTAAATCATCTAATCTCCATCATTTGAAAAGATAAGCAAATTGGGGAAAGAAAAAGGAACCTAAGACAGAAAGCAAATGCGGTAACTGTTAACTGGTCCAACACAATCAATGCACGTTTCATTTCATACCATTAAGTTCGTTTCCGTTTAAAAGAATGCAATCAGTAAAATATTTGATGCACACATTTTATCTTTGATCTATGGATTGGAATAATTTAATTACCCCATTTTATTTATTAAAGAAAAAGAGTTTAATCTAACTCTCAAACTCTCCACACTAGGACGTCCAATTCATGAAAAATCCAAATATTTTCTGACAATAAAAGAAGAAAAAAGAAATACTCCTTTAAAAGACCAGATAAGTTGGTATCAGATATAGTACCAAAACACTTTTGGAAAAGCAGAAAGGGTAACTCCCAGCAATGACATAGCCTTCATGGAAAAAGACAAACAAAAGATATTTTACGAACAAATTACACACTTCTATAATCTTCATTCAATTAATAACAACCTCTCATTATTTACTTGCCTAAAGAAAAAAAATGTGAAAATAGCCGTATTACAACACAGAACTTCACCATTTTCTTATGTATAATCAATGATTAAAACAGGAAAAAGCGTAAAACTTGTCACATTGACTCCTCCTGACATAACTATGCCAATGCCAACTGTCAAGTAAGGACCACATTCTATAGTGTTGTTATTTTCTTATTTAACATCATAGAAACATTATAATTTAAAGCTTAATTAATAACACATTAAAATCATGATCCTAAGATTATACTATGACCACAAACATGAATAACAAAAAAATAGAAATAAGCAACATTTATGAATTCACATCAGCAATCTTAAACATGTCTTCTAACATTCCTCTTTGCTTTAGAAGCTACAAACACCAAGTTTTGTCCTCAAAAATTCAAACTTGCTAACCAGCAGTGGCTTGGTGAAAACATCTGCAATCTGATCTTTTGTTTTGCAGTAGACAAGAACAATAGCTATATCTTTTGTGCTTCCCTTAAGAAGAATAATTTAATATTGAAATGCTTAGTTTTCCCGTGAAACACAGGATTTTGAAAGATAGCAATAGTAGCTTGATTGTCAACAAGAATCTCCGTGCTTTCCCCCTGCTCCAAGTTAAGATCGATTAAAATCTTTCTTAGCCATAAAGCTTGATTAATAGCAAGTGTTGCAGCAATAAATTCTACTTCAATTGTAGATTGAGCTACAATTTCTTATTTTTTGAGCTTCATGAGAAAACACTAGAATCAAGTGTGAAACAATAGCCTAAAGTGCTTTTCATATCATCAATGGAACCTCCTCAATCACAATCTGAGAAACCAACCAACTTGAACTCTTTGCTCCTTTTGTATTTAATGCCAAAGTCACATGTGCATTTCACATATGTAAGCACCCTCTTTGTAGCCTTAAGATGCCATTTGCTTGCACAGTGCATAAACTGAGACAAAATGCTTACAACATTCAAAATGTCAAGCCAAGTTGTTGTGAGATACATCAAGCAACCAATCAGGCTTTTGAAATATGCCTGATCAATCTTCTCTGTTCCACTTTCTTTACAGAGCTTTTCTTTTGAGTTTATCGATGTGCTCATTTCTTTACATTCTTCGAGTTTAAATTTTTTTAAAATCTCATTGGCATATTTCTTTTGATAGATACAGACTTCATGTTCATTCTGTTTGATTTTCATTCCAAGAAAGAAAGTCATCAATCCAAGATCTGTCATCTAAAAAAACTTCATCATCTCTTGCTCAACTTCTCCACAATACTTGTGTTCTTTCTTGTCATAAGCAGGTCATCCACATATAGTAAGATGATAAGAATGTCAGCTCTATTGTGCTTGACATATAATGTTGATTCAAATAAGCTTTTAACAAATCTTAAGTTTTGTAAATGTTCATCAATCCTATTGTACCAAGCTCTTAGAGCTTGCTTCAATTCGTAAAGTGCCTTTTTAGGAAAATAGACCTTGTCTTCTTCTCATTCCTTTACATAGCCTTCCGGTTGCTCTACATAAATCTCTTCCTACAAAAAACCATTCAAGAACGCTAACTTGACATCTAATTGGTGCACTTTCCAATTCTTTTACGCTGCAAAGACGAGTAAGAGCCTGATGGTGTCGAGTCTAACGACTGGTGTGAAGGTATCTGAATAGTTCACATCGAGTATTTGAGCATATCCTTTGACCATAAGTCTAGCTTTATACTTGTTGATTGAGCCATCAGCATTAAGCTTGGTTCGTACACCCACTTGACTCCAATTACTTTTTTATTTTGGGGTCGATCAACCAACTTTTATGTTTCATTCCTTTCAATCATGAACAGCTCCTCCTTCATTATAGCAATTCAATTTTGATCTATCTTAGCTTCTTCATAATCTGTAGGTTCACATATAGTAATATTACATCTTTGATAAACATAAAAAAATAATCTTGTGCCTTTGATAAGACTGTCATCCACTATTTCATTCTCATAGTTTCCAATGCTTTGCTCTATTGTGTCCAAAATAGAAATTTTGATATTAAACTCTTTTAAGGTTGGATCCATCTTCTTTGCATCATCCCAGTTCCACTCTTCATCTTTTATAAAGTGTGCATCCTTACTTATAATAATATTTTTAGTTTATGGTTGGAAAACTTTACAAGTTTTTACAACCGAGCTGCAGCCATGAAGATGCCTAAAAGTGTTCTTTTATCTAGTTTATCTTTCTTGATCTGTGAAATATAAGTGAAGCACAAACATCCAAATATTTTAAGGAAATTTAGAGATGGTTTGTAATCATACCATGCCTCAAAGGGTGTTTAATCCTTCATTGCTCTTGTGGGAAGCCTATTTTACAAAAAAAAAAATAGTGTTTCCTTCTTCAGCCAAAAATTGCTTTGGTAGGTTCTTCTTATATAGATACATCGTGTCATCTCCAATATGAATATATTCTGTCTCTGTTAGCCTTGAATTGATTCTTATTTTGAAATGACAAAACATTAAAGATAAATAAACTTGACCAAAATTTTGAAAAAGATTTATTTAGTACATGTTCTTAAGTTTTATATTTTGGAACTAAATAAATAATATGATTTTCAAAGTTTAAACAATCCTTTCTTGGTTTTATATTTCTCAAACCAAATATATCTTTAAAGATTATTTATTTGAGCTTAAATGAAAGTCCAATTATTATTTTTAAAGTAAATTTATTTATTTTGGACTTAATACAATTTTGATAATATTGGTTTTGAGAAAAAAATTAACTTAAGAAAGCTATTTACAAGAACAAAGTTTTCCAACATTGAATTTATTTTATTTTTCTGTATCAATTCACAAAGTTTTAATATTTAAATTTTATATGGTTGAAAAACTCTTTGAGTCTACTTTCTAATGGATCAAACAAAATCAAATCTAAATTTTTTAAGAAAAGATTTTAAATTTTTACTAGACACTCTGCAGTTGTCAGAAAAATTGCACAAAAGGTAACTTTAAAAATTCACCATAATTCGTACTCAATGAATTAGGTGATGAATTTTATGGATAGAAAGCCCTTTAAGTCTAGTTTCTAAATCTTCAAACGATTTGTGATTTGAATTTATATAACTCAAGATATGATCAAATTAGTGAATATATTACAAAATAAAATAAGAGACAATCACCCAGTCATTGACAGGATCGATCCCCTCATGGAAGAGATCAATCGGGTCATGTTTTTTTAAGCATGAAATGGCATAAAACTTGAACCAATTGATTCCCTCAAGGAAGGGATCGATCGA